AAAAGCAACAAATACTGATATGGCAGGAGATACACACCAAACAGTGTAAATTATTATATATAACAAATTAAGTATTGTGCAATAGTACAGTGTTGCGCAATAGCAAGAAATCTTCAATTGAAAATAAATACAATTCTTTTAACCAAATTCAATGGAATTAAATTAAGTCTTTAATTTTTGGGGGTTCTAACCTTGTATTACTATTTTGGATATTCGGCCCCATTTTTAAATTGGTCTCTTGTCTCATTGGCACTCATACCACATCTTCTTAGATCTATCTACATTGAGGTCCTAAGGGTCCAAAATTAAACTTTGTTTGATTTCATCAAAAACTGAACTATTGTGGCTCTATGATGTGCTGAATCTTATTGTGCATTTAGATTTATTATTTTGGGCCCTGTTTTCAAATTAGTCCATATTAAGGTTTGAAGGGTCCAAAATTAAACTTTGGTTGATTTCAACTAAAATTAAATTTTTGGTGTTTTTTTATACGACTGCAGGTTGTATATTGGTATGACGTTGGCGTCGTCGTCGTCCGAAGACGCATTGGTTTTCACACAATAACTTAAGTTTAAGTGAATGGATCTCTATGAAATTTTACCATAAGTTTCAATACCACAAAAGGAAGGTTGGGATTGATTTTGGGGGTTATGGTACCAACAGTGAAGGAATTAGGGGGCAAAAAGGGGCCATAAATAAGCATTTTTCTAGTTTCCAGACAATAACTTGTGGAACGGTGTATGGATCTCTCTGAAATTATACCACAAAGGGATGGTTAGGATTTGCTTTGGGGGGTTATGGCTCAAACTGTTTAGGAAAAAGGGGGAAAACATGGGTGTCCTGGTTAATGGACAAATACTTTAGTACAAAATATAATTTAAAGCAGTGTAAGGGAGATAATTTAAATACATCATTTGAATTACCTCCCTTACACTGCTTTTTATTAATTATGTATAAAGTAATGGTTAATGAACAATTAAGACAATTTAAAAGCAGTGTAAGGGAGGTAATCCAAATACAACGTTTTGAATACCTCTCTTACACTGCTTTTAAATTATGTTTAAAGAAATGCATATTTGTAAAGGAAAACCAGTAATAATATCTGCAAATGTTGCATCTTTTTTTTTTACAAAAAAATCCATATGAAAGATTTGACACCATATTTTAAATTCTATTATAAAATAGATTAAGTTAGCACTATGGTAAATTTAAATGGGTAATTATGGTTGCAAACTCCATTGGAAATTTGAATTGAGATTATGACCATATCTTGAGGGAAAGAATTTTTTTGGGGAAAAGGGGGGGGGGGGGGGGGGGGTAAAAAGAAATTGTGGGGGGTCAATTTTTTCTCATTTCAGATTTCAGAAATTAAAAAGAAAATTCTTCAAATATTATTTTTTTTTGCAAAAAAAATGTGTGTGAGGGGGGGGGGGGGTTAATACGCAACATCATAGTGTATTGCACAAAAGCAAAAAAAAGGGGGGGTAAATTTTTATTTTTGTTTGTGGGGGGAGGGGGGGGGGGGAATTCGCAACAGCAAAGTGTATTGCACAAAAGCAAAAAATTGAATATAAATTCAAAACATATAACCAATTCTAAGTTCTTTGACTACAGTTATTCTGTGTCAGAAACCTTTTATGTGTCAAATATCTAATTACAATCCAAATTCAGACCTGTATCAAGCGCGAATATTGCGTCCATTTTTGCCCCAACTGTTCAGGGTTGGACCTCTGCGGTCGTATCCAGCTGCGCTCGGCGAAGCAATTTATTCTATGTTTAAAAAAAAAAAAATGAGCGGTAATATCCTATAACTAAGCAAGTGACAATTTCGGTTATGTTGACCTATTTGTAGGTCTTATCTTGCTGTTAAAACATCATTTATATATCTGTTATAATAGTTTTCAAGATAATCGACAATACACAAATAAAATTCGTAAGGGGTTGCGCGGAACCCTGCGTCTCGCCTGCGATTGCTGCTGTCAGTGTAAAAGTGTAATGTTGACTTAAAATAGCATCGATCTTAAGAAAAAGTTTGTACGTGTGAACGAGGCATAAAAAAGTGAGTCCATTTATCAGTAAAATACAGAATTTTAAAAAAATATATCAAACTTTTTCTTAAGATCGATGCTATTTCATGGTCTTGAAGATTGGCTTCTGTTCAAGTTTCATAACAATCCATGAAGGTTTACAAATTTATCACGCCAACAAAAATTAATCCCAGACTGTCTAAATGTTAAATGTAAAAAACTAAGTCCATCTACTAGTATAAAAAAAATACTGAAAATGAAAAAATAATATTTTCAAAAGCTTGCTTCAGACATTATCTCGTAATCATAAAAAAGCTTCTGCCAAAGTTTCATAAAATTCTATGAAGGTTTGTTAAAGTAATTGATGTGTAACAAACTTTAACCGCAGACTGTATCTATTTTTTAAATTTAAAAAAAAAAGTCCATTTATCAGTTAAATACAGAAAAATGAAAAGAAATATTTTCAAATTTTTTCTCTGAATACTTAATTTTGGTCATATCTAAGCTTATGTCCATATTTCATAAAATTCCATGAAGGTTTGACAAAGTTATTGATGACTGAAAAACTTTAACCTCAGACTGTATCTACTTGTTAACTGTAAAAAAAAAAATCGTAAGGGTTCCACGGAACCCAGTGTCTCGCCTACTTTTTCTGTTAATTGCAGGCTCAACAAAAATGAGGAAGTAAATCAATAAAAATATTCCTCTTGATACTATCTTTTGATTGTAAGAAGCTTCTGTCCAGGTTTGGTAAAAATCCAGGATAGTATAAGAAAGTTAATAAATTTTAAAAACTTTAACCACAGAGTGAATGTGTTGTTTCCTGGCAGAAAATCTAAGTCCATTAAAAGTAAAATACGGAAAAAATGGATTTATTTTTTTACAAAATTTCCTTCTAGATACTAGCTTTTGATCATAAACAAGCTTCTGTCCAAGTTTGGTACAAATCCAAAATAGCAAAAGAAAGTTATTAAAATTTTAAAAACTTTAACCACAGAGTGAATGTGTTGTTTCCTGGTAGAAAACCTAAGTCCATTTAAAAGTAAAATAAGCGAAAAATGGATTTTTTTTTTACAAAATTTACTTCTGGATACTATCTTATGATCATAAACAAGCTTCTGTCCAAGTTTGGTAGAAACCCAGGATAGTTTAAGAAAGTTATTAAAATTTTAAAAACTTTAACCACAGAGTGAATGTAATATTTCCCGGCAGAAAAACTAAGTCCATTTATAAGTAAAATACGGAAAAAATGGAATTTTATTTTTACAAAATTTACTTCTGGATACTATCTTATGATCATAAACAAGCTTCTGTCCAAGTTTGGTAGAAATCCAGGATAGTTTAAGAAAGTTATTAAAATTTCAAAAACTTTAACCACAGAGTGAATATTTGTGGACGCCGCCGACGACAACGACCGTGACGCCGCCGACGACAACGACGACGACGACGACGACGACGCCGACGGAATGTAGGATCGCTATGTCTCGCTTTTTCGACTAAAGTCGAAGGCTCGACAAAAACTAAGTCCATTTATCAGTAAAATACGGAATGATGAAAATAAATATTTATAAATTTTTGCTCTGGATATTGTATTTTGATCATTAGCAAGCTTCTGTCCAATTTTTCTAATATTCCATGAAGGTTTGACAAAGTTATGGATGTCTAAAAATACTTCAACCACAGACTAAACCTAGATGTTGCCGCCGACGACGGAATCTAGGATCGCTATGACGGTTTCGCTTTCGCGACATAAATGTCGTAGACTCGACAAAAATGAAAAAATAAATTGTCATTTTAGGGCAATAACTTTTATAGTATAGGACTAAAAAATATATAGATCTAGTCCTGATAGTACATATGGGGAAGAGCAAAAGAAAAAAAAAAAAAAAAAACCAACATTGAAATGTACAGCTACTGCATGCTTCAGAAATGCTATAAAATTAAAATATCCACATCCATGACATGACTAAATTTCTACGCAATAACAAATCACTATTATCGGAAACACATTATGTAAGTATTGTTTACTAGAATACTAACACAATTACTACACGAGTGCATCTTAGTCTTGAACCGGTTATTAAGGCATTTCAAGTCTAAACACATCAAAAGAATTGAAAACCAAGAATATATAAAGCGAACCAAACATTAAGATATAGCAAAATAATACGATACTGTTATGCAAAACAAACTACTTAATCTAAGAGGCTATTTTAAAAAGGATTTGTATAGTACATTATACAAATCCTTGATTTAAATGAATAAAAGTTGTATATGAAAATAATTAAAATATTGAACACTCACTAAAACAGGGGATATAAAACAAAACTATATTCAGTGCTCGTGTGCCGTTTGGCTCGTCATCAGATGTACTTCTACCAGAAAATGGCCACACACAGTAAACTTTGACCTTGTCCACAGTTAATTTAGCTGAGAGAAACAAACTAGAAGTTTCACGGTGGGACACACAAACGGCACATATACTGGTATATCAGTAAAGCATTTTTAGTAACAATATTAGATAAGACAAAACATTGAAAGGCAAAATATTGTTTATTTCTAACTTTCAAGGATTTTTAAATAATAGTTGTATTTTCCTATTATCAATAAAAGAGGGGTGGACAGCTTTTGAGGGAGGTGGGAGGTGGAGGCGGGAGGTGGGAGACAAAAAATAGGTGGGAGAGAAAAAAAGATTCTAAAAGTGGGAGGCGGGAGGTGGGAGAAGGGTACCCCCTGTCCACCCCCTCATAAAATCCCTGATTAAAAATATGTTTTTCTTCACTTATGTATGATACGTCTCTGATTGCAACATGGATGTAATATCCTGTTATGGGTTTTTTTTCTTTAGTTTAGTGAACTTGCCGAGAAGTGTATCTAATACTTTCCTCTTTAATGCATTTTAAAAAAATTTGTTAAAAAATGCCAAAAATTTACGGAAACTGCCTCATGCTTTTAACTGTCAATTTATCACCTGATATCAAAGGGAGATAACTGATGCAACACAACCCACTTTCTGAACGATAACCAGATGAAAAACCACAAATATTTATTATTCAAAATGTTTTCACGAGTGTGAATGTTACGAATGTCAATCCCAATCCATAGAATGAACAATGAATGGTGAATATTTAATGAACAGTTAAATCCGAATGAAATTAAAGGATATGTGAGCAATGCAAGGGCACAAAAAAAACAAACCCAAAAAACAATAACATCAACATCACTGTCAAGTCATGACAGTAGACCCCAAAAAGACAACTATTTAGAAACTGAAAAAAAAAACCAACCTCAATAATATTTTTACAGTGTCCAATTTTAGATAAACATTTTTTTCCTTTTTCATTAGAAAAATCCATCAACTCTAAATTTATATTCTGAAACTGATACTACTAGACTATATCTATATTCTGTGCAAATATAAGTCTCTGATTTAAAAGATTATCGTTATTTTTTCTTTGTGTGGTGTCTTAAATTAAGTATGACTGCTTTAGTCTTAGAAGTCTTACAACCCATTTTTTTTCTACACTCATTCATTTACCATTGTACATGTTGTATGCACAAAGCATGAATAAATAATTGGAAAAAATGTATAAAATGAATAAGGAAGAAATACACTATCTACACCAAGAACTATATTAAATATCAGAATAGGTCTCCAGACTAACCATAAGTGCAGGACTTTGTCCTAATATTTTAGCCCAGCCACTATACAGAGTCTAATAGTTTTTTAATCAACTAAAATTGATGAAATCTGATTCCATTGAGAAATACACTACTAAGTTTAAGTTATATGTCCCCAGGGAAACCTGTGTGTGCTTGTTTGTATGACAGAACTTTTTCCATTGAGTATAAGATACTTAACTAGCTGTTATCAGTAACTCACTGTGTCAAAGGACAGTGGTTTCACACCCATGTCTGGTACATGGACCATGGTATTTTTTTTAAGAAAAACGTGCTCTACTGCTACATTTAAAGTTTGAATATCATTTGTTCTTGTGTCTATATTTTCAGTATTGGTGGAATCATTAGATTTCTGTTAACTTCTGTTTGGGTTTTAATCCAGTGTTCCCTAAATTAGTTCCCTGGAAAGAGTAGTGGGCTGATTTTATAATTGTAAATGAAAGCTTGTCATTTATTGTTACATGTATTAAAGTTTTTTATTGGTATGATAATTTGATTGACAACAAATTTAAGTAGAAGGTAAAAATCTTGGTGAAGAAAGGTATTTAGTTAGATATCTTCTTCTTGAGAAAACAATTTACATGTCCAAGAGATAAAATGGCATCCTTCACTACGTTGGTTGCTGCACATATGCTAAAAAAAGATGTTTTATTGAAAACAGACATTATCATTGTTATGAAGAGACATTATCATTGTTATGAAGAAAAACAAATATGAATCAATTCAAGGCCTTTTATAGCAGTTTTTGTAAGAGTTCTTTTACTGCTTTGCCTATTATTTCCTATTCCGTAGGTGTGACCCTCATTCAATGTTGCAACCTCCAGTCTTTTTTAATTTTTCCTAACCTTGACCTATAATGGTTTACTGTTATAAATTGTAACTTGGATGGAGAGTTGTCTCATTGGCACTCATACCACATCTTCCTATATCTATAAACACAATTTATGAAATCTAGGCTTCATTTACGTTAAAAAAGGGAAATTTTAACCTAAAAAGGGAACTTAAATAATCTAAATAACAGCGGAGCAAAGAAAGGTTTAGTAAGAACGGTCAGTCCATAGATTGTAATTGACAAATACTTAGTACAACACTTATATCTTGATTCTAACGCAAAATTTTAATTTCAAATCCCACTGGAAACAACACAAAACATGCACAAAATATTTAAAAGCAATAGTAATTTAGCATAACATTTTAAAAGTCAGCTGGTTAGAATAAAAATGTATCAAAGTTGCATTAGATAAAATCAGAAAAAAAGGGTTTAAATACCATAGGTATAATTGGCAAAAGGATGTGCAACCTTATCAGCTAAGAGATTTACCAAAACGTTCATAATAAATAGATATTTTATCGTTTTTACAGGTGATGAACAACATGTAAGTGAAAGACAGAATCTTCTAACAAGACTACTTGATGCTGTTAAACAGGTAAAGAATGTTTGATCTAAAGACAGAAAGAAAACTCTTTATCAAAATACCTTTGTAATTCCACTGTAAGCACAGAAAATGCTGAACAAACTATGTTAAAATGGCTATAAAAGAATTACATCCAGAAGACAATACATAAATGAAAAAAAAACCTAAAGAAATTAATAAAACAGATAAATATGAATAGTAAACACTTGAAACTAAAGCTAGGGCAATACAATCTAACAGAACCATGAATGAATTAAGTACTTTATAAAAAGGGTAAACACATCATGCTGAAGGCATGTGAAACCTGTCACAATGGTAAGAGGTTTGAGCTTGTAATGAATCAGAATATTGGAAAGGAGGTGAAGAAAATGCATAAAAAAAGAACTTTTTGACTTGGATGAATCTGAGTAAGCTATCAAATGTTATGACTTGCAGACCTATTGTGGACAGTTTCTTAATTCTTTGTCTGGTCTTATCTTCATTTGAGAAAACAGATTACTGTGGGTTCATCATTATTCATGGGATACCAATTATCATGGATTTCGTAGGTACAGGTAAACCATTAATTTAAATATTCAATGAAGTACCAATTTTCTATACGCTTGTATATAGACTTTGACAAAACCATGAAATCAAATATCCACAGTATTTTTTTTTATCCAAATCCTGGAAAATAGGTTTCAATAAAAATAAATGAATCCATAGTAACACTTTTTCCTTTATTTGTCATGAGGTAGACTTGTAATACATCAATTGAAGTTAGTAATAATGAAACATTTTTTTTTCATTTAAAGATATTTTTGATTATGAAAAATTCTCAACTATTTTTGAATTTGATCAAGCTCATTTTATGTTTTATAATCAGTGCCAGGTACGATTTGGTGGTAGAACAGAATTAGCTGCAGATGCTGATAGTCGAGTTTCCTGTCTCTGTGCTGCATGGGAAGCTGTATTGCAACATGGGTTAAAGCAAACTAGCAAAGCTTTTCAGGCTCTCAAGTAAGAATTGTGTTTTACAATATTTGAAATTCATGTTTTGAAATTGAAAAGTTTTCTGAAGAATTCTTTATATAAACAAGTTAATGTGAAATATATGTTGAACCTGAAGTATGTAAACAAGTAAACAATTTTAATATCAATTTCTTATGAGAAGCTAAAGTTTCTAATATCTATATATATTTTTAGCTCACCTGGCCATCGGGGCCAAGTGAGCTTTTCTCATCACTTGGCATCCGTCATCCGTAGTCCTGCATCCGTCGTCCGTAAACTTTTACAAAAATCTTCTCCTCTGAAACTACTGGGCCAAATTTGACCAAACTTGGCCACAGTCATCATTGGGGTATCTAGTTTAAAAAATGTGTCCGGTGACCCGGCCAACCAACCAAGATGGCCACCATGGCTAAAAATAGAACATAGGGGTAAAATGTAGATTTTGGCTTATATCTCTGAAACCAAAGCATTTAGAGCAAATCTGACATGGGGTAAAATTGTTTATCAGGTCAAGATCTATCTGCCCTGTAATTTTCAGATGAATCGGACAACCCGTTGTTGGGTTGCTGCCCCTAAATTGGTAATTTTAAGAAAATTTTGCAGCTTTTGGTTATTATCTTGAATATTATTATAGATAGAGATAAACTGTAAACAGCAATAATGTTCAGCAAAGTAAGATCTACAAATAAGTCAACTTGACCAAAATGGTCAGTTGACCCCTTAAGGAGTTATTGCCCTTTATAGTCAATTTTTAACCATTTTTCGTAAATTTTTGTAATCTTTTACAAAAATCTTCTCCTCTGAAACTACTAAGACAAATTTAACCAAACTTGTCCACAATCATCATTAGGGTATCTAGTTTCAAAAATGTGTCCGATGACCCCGCCCGCAAACCAAGATGGCTGACATGGCTAAAAAATAGTACATAGGGTAAAATGCAGTTTTTGGCTCATATCTCTGAAACCAAAGCATTTAGAGCAAATCTGATGATGATAAAATTGTTCATTAGGTCAAGATCTATCTGCCCTGAAATTTTCAGACCAATCAGGCAACACATTGTTGGGTTGCTGTCCCTGAATTGGTAATTTTAAGAAAATTTTCCAGCTTTTGGTTATTATCTTGAATATTATTATAGATAGAGATAAACTGTAAACAGCAATAATGTACAGCAAAGTAAGATCTACAAATAAGTCAACATGACCAAAATTGTCAATTGACCCCTTAAGGAGTTTTTAGTTTTTAGTTTATAGTCAATTTTTTACAGTTTTCATAAATTTTGTAAATTTTTGTAAATTTTTACAAAATATTTTCCACTGTAACTACTGGGCCAAGTTCATTATAGATAGAGATAATAGTAAGGAGCAAGAAAGTTCAGTAAAGTAAGATCTACAAACACATCACCATCACCAAAACACAATTTTGTCATGAATCCATCTGTGTCCTTTGTTTAATATGCACATAGACCAAGGTGAGCGACACAGGCTCTTTAGAGCCTCTAGTTTATACATGTTGTTTTTAATTTAGACTTATTTATATTTTTTATACATGTACATATTATATAGAATTTTGATCTAGCTTATATGTTTATGATTTACTGACAATTGAAATATGCATGGCACAAAAACAGTTTTTTTAAACTAGCGGTTTCATTTTCTTGGAAGAAAGCATTTTGTTGAATTATCTGAGTTTTTTAACTTTAATTTATAGGCAGGTAACAGAAATAACAGGTTTAAACAAAGTATCAGATGTAATTGCTGACATCACAAGTAAAGAGATAGAACCAGGTATGGTCATTTTATACTGAAGAAAATACTTTAATTTACCTTAATTTACTTCTGCACAATTCCTCATTTAAACATTTTTAATGTCTCTGAATAAATATTTCACCAGTGTGAACTTTAAGGGCTATTTAGTTAAATCCTGAAATATTGGTTCCAGTATTCAGGTACATGTTGTTCTCAAAAACTTTTTAAAAAAAAAGGTGATTTCAACCATTTGTTTTTAGCATCAATCCTATCAAAGATGGAGACCACAAAAAAAATATAAACAAACAGCAGATCATCAAACACTGCACAGACAACTGTTTGATTCTTAGACTGTCATTTTCCTCTATTTGTCATCTGTTAAGGATGTTCGCTCCTCTTGTTTTTGAATTTTTGCCCGATATTCGGAATCCTCTGGTTTTATCCATGTAGTGCCATTAAAAATTTGGCCCACTAACCCCTACTTTTCTTTCCAAAATTTGATTACATATAGTTTAAAATGTCATCATTGAAAATGTTATAAAATCCTTGTTATTTTTTCATCGTTTTTTAAAGAAAAAAGGTGCTAATGTTAAATGTATGAAAAATCTAGAGAGAATTATTTCCCGCCAAATTTTCAATGGTTTATATCTCGAAAACAAGCACACGGACCCTTCATTTTTTTCAGCTTTTTTAGTTTCTTTATTTATATACTATTAATCTATAACAGTCTTTTAAAAAGCTTGTTATTTTGAAACAGAGTAGCAAACATCCTTAAGAGTATTGTTTTAATGTGAGAGAAAGTTTTTACTAAGTAATGCATTTTCATGTCTGTTGGGTTATAAGATTATACATGTCTACAGTTAATTATTTCTTGAACTTTCATTTATATATATTGTCGTATATTACAGAGTACTGGCTCTATGTGAAAGAGCATCTAACAAAACATGAACAGGACAGATTTTTTACATTGAAGCATATAAACACAGATGCTGGACGTGGGAGGGCCTGGCTTAGAGCCTCACTGAATGAACATTCTCTTGAGCGTTACATGCATATGTTATTAGAACGAGATGAATTACTTCGGTAGGTATTCTTTGAAGATATAAAGAAAGTTCACATTGATAAATTTTGTAACAGTTTTTAAATTAAACAAAGCTGCCATAAAAAAAACACACATTTTCCCTCCCCAGAGATTACTATCTTTTTACTATGCATGGTCATAGTATTTAAATGTAGACTATATGGTTAGAAATTCAGTCTTGTACAATATTTTACTGGCTTTTATGTAATAGCCAAGAGAGCTGAATATGGTATTAAACACCAATTATCAATCAATCAATCATATTTATATGAAATTCACCCTTTGACTTTTGTAGCCTACTCTCCTATTCTATCTTTATAACATAATAAAAACATATTTATTTGTTTTTTTTTGTAGTAATCATTATGAAAACTGGGCATTTTTACGAGATCAGGAAAGAAACAGTATGTTGCCTAACATGGCTGCTGGTGAGTGAAAACAAGGCTGTAATGACTTCATTTTTGTCGACCTCTTGACATTTATGTCACAAAAGCCAGGCATAGCAATCCTAGATTCCATCGTTAGTTTCGGTAGTGTCAACATTTAGGTTCAGTCTGTAGTTAAAGGATTTTTGGACATCAATAACTTTGTCAAACCTTCATAAAAATTTAAGAAATTTGGACAGAAGCTCGTTATGACCATAATACAGTATCCAGAGCAAAATTATGAAATTTATTTTCTTTGCAGTTAACATTCAGATTTAGTCTGAGGTTAAAGTTTTTCAGTCATCAATAACTTTGTCAAACCTTCATGGAATTTGGACAGAAGCTTATTTATGACAAATGACAATATCCAGAGCAAAATTTCTGTATTTTACTGATAACTGGACTCACTTTTTAAGTCAACATTACACTTTTACACTGACAACAGTAATCGCAGGCGAGACGCAGGGTTCCAGGGAACCTCTTACAAATTTTTATAATATTTATGTGTCATACAAACCGAGTACAGAAAACAATTATGTCATTTAATCATGGATATGTATTTAACACATGATTATCATATAACCTTCAATCATTGTGGATACTAATTTTGATGGATTTTGAAAAAAAATTATTTTCGTAAATCCTGATTTCATGGTTTTGACAAATTCTGAATACAAGCCCTTATGAAATGGTTACCTTGATAATGTTTAACACTTTTGTAGTTCACCAGTAACCACGTCCAAAAAAATCCACAATGTAGAATTTTCTGAATTTTCAGAGATTTGCTGAATTATGTTACTTTATTTACTTGCATCCTGGATTTATTAGTAATCACATGGTTGGTTGTGATATAGTTGTTACTGTATAATTGGAAATTGTTCTGGTGTCCTACTTTCTCAAAGAATTGGATAAGTTTTCAATGTAGTTTTTATTACACATTTTCCAAATTTCATCAAAATTATAATTTAAAACATTTCTTTAATTTAAAGTTATAATTTAATTTCATTTTATGTGTGTAGTAATACAAGTACATATATCAAGTTTAAGAAAACATACTCTATTTAATTGACTTCTGTGTTGCTTTTTCAGGGCTTGGATCAATACTGTTTGCCATTAATGTGGATAACTCCGACTTAAATACAGTGAGACGTCCAACAACAGCTGTCAATATCCCTAATACAGCCAAACTGGTTGGTAGATTGGAAGAGGAGCCACGCCCAGTAATAGCTGGGGAGGAGAGTCCTCCTGGATCTGGATCTTATGGTCTGTTTACATTATCAGGTGTATTCAAGTATAACAGCAAGATAAACAAATCAATTCAAGTTTAATTAAGATTACAATGCCCTTCAGTCTTCATAAATTAGTCCTTGCTATCGTTCTTGTAAATGATGCCTTTATATTCAATCTCTAGTGTCTGCAACAATGATAATTCAATGATAAAACTGAAGTTTCATAAAAGTTGCAGATAAAAAATGTCTTGTTCAGATATGATAAATGGAATGAGTGTTAATTTATAATCAGTGTGATATTTTATCTTTATATGGTTTAGCATCTGATTTGACCCTTACCTGGGTTTTAGTAGCATTTTTTTTCTTCATTCTTTAATATTTATGAATTGTTGGTCCACCATTGTGTGGTTTGTTTGTCTTTTGTCTCTTAACAAGATGCTCTTTATTGCTTTAAAGTTTTTGATCACTCTTTGTTATCATCTTATTATACCCCCGCTTTAAAAAAGTGGGGTATACTGTTTTACCTCTGTCTGTCCGTCCATCCATCCGTCAGTCCGTCCCGTGAATATTTTTCGTCGCATCTTTCTCAGGAACTACATTACAAGGATTTCTGAAATTTGGTTTCAGGGTTTATATGAGTCAGCTATACTGTGTGATGCGTTTTCAGATTCATCACTCAACAACTTCCTGTTTACCTTATACTTTTATCGGGACGGGGGTATCATTAGTGAGCAGTATTCACTTGTTTTTACTACCAAGTTATGGTCTAGTGGCACATTTATTGTCTTTAGATTCCATTTGTCCACAAATATAGTCCCTAGTGTGGACAGTGTGTAACTTGCAAATTTTTTTCATACACCTTTCAAATTTATTTTAATTCTTTATATTTTATGCATATGATAGTAAGTAGGGGGATGAAATTGGTCCAAAAAAAGGTAAAAAATTATAGTATGTCTGAACTGAAAATGTCAATCTGAATTATAGATCCCCTTAACATAAAATTGTCAATATTTTGAGTTGGTAGACTTTTCTATAATTTTGATATGATTTGTTATAATTTTAATATAATTTGTACCTAAAGTAGTACACACTGTAAAATTCTTTTTGAGAAAATGCAGGTGGGATTTATTAAATTTCCATTTGTTCTTCTAAAGAAATGCACTACAAAATAACTGTCCAGGGCCGATGTTTTTTTCGAAATTATCTAGGTACATATTTTCCGATACAGTCAAAATTGATTCAGTAGTAAAATGTAAATATTTTGTATGATTATTTCACATCACATTTCCAAGTTTTTAGTCCCCTACCAACGAAGTCGAAGGGGACTTTAGGTTTTCACTCTGTCCGTCTGTCCATCCGTCAGTCCGGCAACTCAGCTTTCCACACTTTTTTTCTTCGTTCTTGAAGATATTGATTTGATATTTGGTATATAGTTATATCATGATAAGTTATAGATAAAGTTCGAATTTTGTTCAGGTCTGATGATTAAGTCCAGAGTTATGGTACATAAAAAAACTCCATAACTTATGTTAGAGTACTATGTTAAACCATATATATATGTACAAAGGGAGATAACTCATTTTTTAAAAGACATTCTTTGATAAATTGTTTGAGGAATTTTGTGGCAGGTTTATATGTTATTTTGTTCAAACTAATTTTCCGAATGCTACATGTATATATATATATATATATATATATATATATATATTTTTTTTTTTATTAAGTGAAATCCTTTAATTAGATAATAATCTATTTTTATTAAGGTATATATTTCATTACATTACATTGTGTAGATAAAAGTTGTTGACATTTTATAGATAAGTTACAAATCTATATTAGTTTGTGACAAATGAAAGAAAAAATATTTGGAACTATTAATTATATTTGATCGTAATTTGAAAATTGATATACATTGTATTACATCATATCTAATTTGAGAGAACTATTAATCATATCTAATGTTAGAGTGTTATAGGTTTTCCACACTTTTTTTCATCATGCTTGAAGATATTGATTGACAATTGGTATATAGTTTTATCATGACATGTTACAGATCAAGTTCAAATTTTTGTTTCTGTCTGATAATTTTGTGCAGAGTTATGGTCCTTGGACTTGAAAAAATTCACTCATATATTCAGTTTTCCACACTGTTTTTAGTCATGCTTGAAGATATTGACTTGCTTTTTTTGTTTGTTTACACCATGACAAGTTATAGAACAAGTTAGCATTTTGTTCCAGTATAATGAATTTTTACCCGGTAGGGGACTATGTATTGCTATGCAATACTCTCAGAATGCTTGTTTTTAATAATAAACTACAAGAAACTATTCAAAGTATATTATCAATAAATATTTCAACTTTATAGATCCAAAAAAGAAAGAAAAGAAGAAAAAGAAGAAAAATACTCATATTGTTAGTTTTGATGATGGGACTTCACAAACTTTATTTCATCATGTGAATCCCTCAGAGCAATATTCTACTCAGCAGACGGAGCAGATAACAGATATATCTGTATCTGGCACCTCACCAGTGGAAAATATTCTGAGGAGAGAATATTCCTTAAACAGAGAGCCAAGTATTGTTTCCAATACATCTCTAGACCAGGCTTCTGTCAGTTCTGCAGATTTTGATGTCAGGTAAATCATATATAGAAAATTATGCTGTCAAAAAAATTCACAAAGCGAAAAACAGTGTGATACACTTATTGAATATGTTTAAATGAGTAAAATGAAGAATATGAGAAAAATTTAGATGTTCATAGATTGTTCTGTTTTATTTTCTCACCTGTACTGCAATACTAAGATGTGCCATTTCTGGCTTTTGTTACCAGTTACTGCTCCATTAGTAGTAACCAGTATGTTGCTTAAGAAAAACATAATTCTGGATAAGTCATATTAAATCTATAAAAAATTATTGATTTCAGTGAGAGTACAATGCGACCAGTAGATTTTTCAGGTGATCCAATAGAATTTGGTATTTCTTCATTCAGAGCAGAGTCTAGTAGTATACTAGGATCATCTGGTTAGTACTTTAACTTAAGAACTAGTCAAGTACATAACTCAGGATGTGATACAAACTTTTCTGAAAAAATTGCTAAAAATTTATTGTTACCAGGTTGAATTTGTTTCTAAGGAAACAAATGCTTCAAAAATATGTTGCCTTTAAAGACTGAATCTTTTTGACTTATGCAGGATTGATTTAGGTCAACTTTTGAACGACATACCAGATCAATACCATTTACCTACTTTCTCAACATGAATGATTCTTGTTAAATTTTGCATTTTTTTCTACAAATTCTTTTGATTAATATATGTCTATTAATTAAGTATTCAAATCAGGTTTTTCTGTAATAAACTATTTTTGGTAGTATTAAGTGAAATGTTTGACAGTAGGTCAGCATCCCAGCAATTACTTTTAAGTCTTATAGTAATGGGTCATCTTAATGTATTTCTATCAAACATAAAAAAACATGAAAAATAGATTTCTTTTAAGCTGCTCAATAACATAAAAAAAAATGGACTTGTTAGTTACATTTTTCAAATAAAAGCTTGATATAAGACTCTTTACTTAATAATATCATTGGCAATGAGAAGCAAAGCATTAATTAGTTTGCAAAAATGTTGTCCTGCATTGATAGCTGTTATCTACTGCATTGCAAACTTTCTCTGTGACTGAGATAGTGATTTTGATGATGGAAGGAAACTGCCATGTGAGCTGCATAATCTTTTTATAAAACTAGAGGCTCTCATGAGCCTGTGTCGCTCACCTGATTCTACTTTGGTTTTGGAAATCATGTAAAAATAGATTAAAATCATAACAGATACCCTAATAATGAGTGAGGCCAAATTTGGTTTAATATTGGCCCTGTAATTAAATAAAAAATCCTGGTGGCCATCTTGAACAGTAAACCAGCAACAAAGAAGCAACACTTCATCAGCACCTCATAAGAAACATTTATGCCATGATTGGTTTCATTCCATTCAGTGCATCTCTAGAAGAAGCATTTGTATATATTTCCAATAGGGTCTTATGTTAAAGGAAGTCCCCCCGCTGGCGGCCATCGTGGATGAAGGATCAGCTTCAAAGTAACAACACTTAGTCAGCACCTCATAAGGAACATTCATGCATTGTTTGGTTTCATTCCATTCAGTGGTTCTCTAAAAGAAGACATTCGTATGTATTTCCCATAGGGTCCTATGTTAAACACTGTCCCCAGCTGGTGGCCATCTTGGATGATGGATCGGCTTCAAAGTAACAACAATTGGTCAGCACTTCATAAGGAACATTCATGCCATGTTTGGTTTTTCATTCCATTCAGTGGTTCTCTAAAAGAAGACATTCGTATGTATTTCCCGTAGGGTCCTATGTTAAACTAAGTCCCCCCCCCCCTGGCGGCCATCTTGGATGATGGGTCGGCTTCAAAGTAACAACACTTGGTCAGCACCTCAAAAGGAACATTCATGCCATGTTTGGTTTCATTCCATTCAGTGGTTCTCTAAAAGAAGAAATTTGTATGTATTTCCCGTAGGGCCCTATGTTAAACTAAGTCCCCTGCTGGCGGCCATCTTGGATAATGGATGGGCTTCAAAGTAACAACACTTGGTCAGCACCTCATAAGAAACATTCATGCCATGTTTGGTTTCATTCCATTCAGTGGTTCTCTAAAAGAAGACATTTGTATGTATTTCCCATAGGGCCCTATGTTAAACTAAGTCCCCCGCTGGCGGCCATCTTGGATGATGGATGGGCTTCAAAGTAACAACACTTGGTCAGCACCTCATAAGGAACATTAATGCCATGTTTGGTTTCATTCCATTCAGTGGTTCTCTAGAAGAAGTTCAAAATGTAAAAAGTTAACGACGGATGACGAACAACAGACGCCAAATGATGAGAAAAGCTCACTTGGCCCTTTGGGCCAGGTGAGCTAAAAAGGGGGGAATCAAAACTCAAAAGCCAAATAGAGACCAACAAAATCATGGCAAAAAACAAAAAGACAACAACCGTCTACAAAACACTACATTAGAAACTAATAACTGAGCGACACAAACCCCAACAAACATGGGGGGTGAACTCAGGTGCTCTGGTTGGGTTAGCAGATCCTGCTCCACATTTGTCACCCGTCGTGCTACTTTAAAATACATTGATGAGTACATAGTACCTCTGTGTTTTTCAGTTTCCTCTTCAGAACATGGTGGTATTGATGTACAATCAGCTGCTTTAGCTTTAGATATGGTACAGAGAGGAATGGATCACAGGTTAGTTGAGGAACCTTTTCTTACTATTGCCAAATCTTGGTTTGTCAACTGTCAGAAATATTGCATTTTTCTATAGCTGTAACTGTAAAATTAGGAATTTATGCATAAAATGTCAACATGGCAGTGAATGTCATAATAATTAAACTTATTGTTTAACATATTTTGCAGAAATTACATTAATAAATCTCACATTAGTATTTGTTGAATGTGATTTATAGCACATGTCATTAATGCAGACATTAAATTCATTATAATTATTTTTGTCAGTTATTTTTATACGCCCGTTTACGGGACGTATTATGGTATACCGTTGTCCGTCCGTCTGTCCGTCCGTTGTCAACATGTCGTACACTATCTCAAAAACACTTTAACCAATTTGCATGAAACTTTGTTGAATTGTTTATATCTATTGACGTGAGCTCCCTTTCAATTTTTATAAATTTTAGATTTGATGTTTCTGAGTTATGGGGTTTTATTCATTAAAAAAGGGGGGTTTTCTAACGGTTTTCGTGAAACTTTGGTGAATTGTTTATATCTATTGACGTAAGCTCCCTTTTAATTTTTATAAATTTTAGGTTTTACGTTTCAGAGTAATGGGATTTTATTCATAAAAAAGGGGGGATTTTCCAGTTTGCAGACAATAACTCAAAAGTGCTTTGAACAGTTTTCATTAAACTTCTGTGACTATTTTATATCTATTAAAATAACCTCCCTTTAGTTTTTTTATTAATTTCTGATATGACATTGAGGAGTTATGGAACTTAATTCTTTGAAAAAGCGACATGCGTATCATGCGCTCATGGCGCAGCTCTTAATTTCACATAACAGTCAAATTTCTTTCTTTCCAACAGTAGACAGAAAATATGAATTGAACCATACAATAATAAAACCAATTAAGAAATCTGCTGTTCAATTTTTACCTGCTGGTTTCTATACAGCTGTATCATGCTGTAGCGATGTTGTCGTCTTCGTCATCAATCGAAGATATTTGGTTTCCAGACAAGAAGTTGGGTATAAGTGAATGGTTCACTATGAAATTGTACCACAAGGTTCCATATCAAAAAAGAAGTGGGATTGGTTTTGGGGGTTATGGCCCAAACCGTTTAGGAATTAAAGGCCTAAAACAATACCTTTTTAATACTTTTTATAAAATGCTTATTTCTTGACCCATTTCAATGGGGTTTAATTCAAAGTCTTGAATTCTTGGGGTTCTTTAATATGCTGAATCTAACCATGTTTTATTTGAATTTTGGATTTGGGCCCAAAAAGAATTGGTCCACATTGAGGTTCAAAGGGTCCAAAAAATGAATTCTTGGGGTTCTTTGATATGCTGAATCTAACATGTATTTTTTAGATTTTTGATTTTGGGCCCAGTTTTTCAAGTTGGTCTAAAATTAACTTTGTTAAATTTCAACAGAAATTGAATTCTTGAGGTTCTTTGATATGCTAAATCTGACCGTGTATTTCGATTTTGGATTTTGGATCCTGTTATCCAATTGGTCTACATTGAGGTCCAAAGGGTCCAAAACTAAAATTAAGTTTGATTTCATCAAAAATTGAATTCTTTGGGTTCTTTGATATGCTGAATCTAGCCATGTATTTAGATTTTTGATATTGGACCATAATAGGTAAATGTCCAATTTCAAATTTTTCAGTCCTTAGACCACATTCATTCTATGTCAGATACTTACGCTGTGTCAAATATATAATCACAATCCAAATTCAGAGCTATATCAAGCTTGAAGGTTGTGTTCATAATTGCCCCAATTGTTCAGGGTTCAACCTCTGCGGTCATATCAAGCTGCCCCCTTCAGAGCATTTTATTTTTGTAATAAAATGGATTGTAGCATCATTTCTTCTTCAAAATTTCATGGTGTTAATGTATGTATTATATAGTTACAGAACAGCCGGAGATGGAGGAAATGATAAAGAAAATATAAGAAAAGATGCCATGTCAACAAGTATGTCTGATTTATTGACATTATTTAAAGATTATTGATGGTTTTTTCAAAAGAGATGTAGCCAAGAATCATACTTGAGCTTTTAAGACCATTAAAAATCTGTTTATCGTTATTTGTTGAGGCAATGTCAATGACGTAGGGTTACGACATCATGTATTCTTGTATACTTGACTGAGAAAAACCCATATAACTCGAGTAGTGTTATGGATTGTTATCATACAGAAAAATCAAAGGAAATTTTGAGAAAATAGTGATGCAGTTATTTTTAGAAATGCTGCTAATCTGCTTATGTATGTCAGATGCATATATTTTTCAATTGACAAGAGAAAGACAACTGTATCATCTCTCATTAAATATTATACAAAGCCAGTTGCCAATTTTTCTATCTTTTTGTTTCTGATTATATCTTCAAGTGAAAGAAGAGAAGTTTTCATGCTTTATTGTTATCTTTCCATTTCTTATAGTAGCTTATTATTGAAGAATCAGTTCATATAAATTTCATATAGGATGTTGGAAAAAATTTACAAATGGATAAAAGATTAAAAAGTGAATAATAAGTAGCAGTTACAGTCAAACCTGCTTTAAAAATCACATGTATTGAACGACCACTTATCAATCCCCCACAATAGATTTCCCTGCATATTTAAACTGTAATAAGCGACCACCTGTTTAACACGACCAGCCACCACACGCCCTGTCTTAAATGACCACAATTTACATGAAAGGATCAACAACTATGGAAAAAGTATAATCATACCACCAATCCCCCCGCCATTTTGATGATCGATGAAGATTGTTGACAATCTAACAATGGGCAAACCTTGAGTGAATCTGCTAGAACAGAATAGAATGTGTTTAGATGATTGATTCTGATCAAGATTTCTACAAAGTTCAACAATCAGGACGTATATATATATTATCAGTTCGTCAAATCAGTTTTCCACACTTTTTATGCCCCCGACGTAGCAGAGGGGGCATTAAGTTTTACCCTCTGTCCGTCCGTCTGTACGTCCCAAAATTGGTTTCCGTTCTCTAACTTTAGTTTGCCTCAACCAAATAATATGAAACTTATACACAATACTAATCACCACAAAACACAGATCAAGTTTGAATTTTAGTGGCATCACTTTTACCTTTCTAGAGTTACACCCCTTTACAAATGGAAAAATTGCTGAATTTTTCGTTTCCGTTCTCTAACTTTAGTTTCTCTCAACCAAATGTAATGAAACTTATGCACAAAACTGGTCCTTTCTCAAGCTGAGGAGCAATACAGTTGCCTGAGATACATAGTGAGGCAATTTATATAGAATCTTGAAGAACATGTGAAGGCTCTGCACCCAGGGTATTTTCACAGGAATTAGATTGGACATCATATAACAAGAACCTTGTCTTGGGATGTATAAAAAAAATTAAAAGAAAATACAAAAAGGCAAGGAAAAAAATTACTTACATAATGAACAGTTCTTATAATTAGTTCTTGTGGATATTCATACGAGACTAATACAGTATTGTTTACTTACATTAGTACGTTCAAACATTGTGATGCACATATATACTTCCTACTTTTCAAATTAGGGAACTTGTATTCAAAGACCACCTGTATTAAGAAACCACTTTTGTCTTGATCCCATGAGTGGTCTCTTAATACAGGTTTGACTGTTTATTTTAAATAACGCAGGTTAAAAATGATGTGAAAAAATAAGGGTTTAAGATAATTTTCATTTTTCTTTGAAGATGAATTAAAACAAGCAGTTGTAGCCATGATGGTCAGAAAAGATGATGTTGAAGAACAGAACAGGTTATTACTGTAGAAACATTCCAAATGTTCACATGTTTTTTTGTAACTGGTCAAATATTTTTTGATTTTAATGACAATTATTTAAACAATTGATAGCTGCTCAATGAAAATTGGCAATATAATTCCATTTAAACACATTTTACACAATGAAGGCACTTTCAAAATGGGGTAAATATAAAGGCAAATATAGAATTTCACTGTACTTGACACCCACCAATAGTTGAGATTTCAAAATGCCTGCCCTGGGTCTCATTTAAATTTCTATGGAACATATTTCAGGAAAAGGAGGAGGTATGATAAAAACCATTATTTGGCCCCTGAAATTGCAAAAATAGTAAAACTTTTCAAGCCTTTCAAAAATATGTAAATTTCATTGATAAATGAACAGGTTAAAATAATCTTGACACTTTAGTGAAGAAAGGTCACTTGTGATGTCATTATGATATTCTAACATGATGAAATTTACAAATTAGACCTCAAATAGCTATTTTACGCATTTTTTTTGTCAAAATATATATCAGCAACATCAAAACCAAAAAAGATATTTTGCATGCTTTAACATCTAAGTCAAACACATTTTGTAGCAAAATATCTTTTCTGGGTATTAAAGGTGTTGCTCATGTCTAAATGACAATGGCAAGATCTCAAAATAAGGCTAGTTTGGTAGTTTTTGCTGTTTTGCACTAAATGTTAGAAGTTTAAAGCCCTATTGCCAATCTGTAAGATAAATTTCAAAGATATTAATATGAATATCCAACAGACTAAGGGCTATTCCATTAAAATGTATGTGGGAGGGTAGGAAGGGAAGTTTAATTATTGAATGTGGGTCATGGGTAATTTTTTCGGTATGCGTCTATTACCATAATGCAAAATTATCTAAAAAATGGTTCTTGGTTGTAGGGATATTTTGAAAGTCCCTTCCTACCCTCCCACATACATTTCAATGGAATAGCCCTAATGTCTTATGAAAATCTTAAAGATGTTATTTGGTAAATTTTTAATACTTTGATTTTCAGATTCAAGGAACCGAAAAAAGTGGCCTTATATATTCTCCTTATACACATTCATTTAAGTCATATTGGAGTTTGAAATGTTGCCAGTATATACCATTTATATTGATAATAGCCATTTGTTAGGACACCAGTAAGCCAGTAATTGTATGTCACATGAAGTATTGAAACTAAATTTGTTTGCCTGATTTATTATTTGATATTTTTACCTTAAGGAATTTACATATGATGTTAGAACAAGAAATGGAAACATCATCCACGCTGAGAGCTGAGATAGAAGACATGAAAGTTCAGTTTTCTTCAAAGCAAGAAAAGGAAACTAATAGATATGAGTCACTACAAAAGTAAGTGTACTGTAAATTGAGTAAAAAAATCACTTTATAAATTTGGTGCCTCTGAAACTTTTTTCTGGTTATACCTTCAACAGGATGGATCAAACCTAAAATTTTGAAAGCCAGGGATGTGAAAAATACCTTTGTGAGGAGTTATATGACCATAAGGGTTAAACACAACATATTTGATTTAGTATAACACATGTTTTAGTTTGCCTGTACAAGAACATCATCAGGGGTTGTCTTTAGATTTATAATGTTTTTTTACCCTAAAGAATTTTGTTATTGATAGCAGATCTTTGATGGTCTGTTAAATTTATTTACAATTTTCTTGAGGTAGATTTAGATCATGACTTATTGTTCATTTTTAAAACCTTATGTTGACCTCTAGAACTTTTGTCTTTTTTTGTATGGGTCTGTGGCTGTCTCATTGACCATTTAACATATCTTCTGGTACAAGGAACTAAAAAATGTATAAACAGTGTTCCAGCTAGGTCATTTGCACAGGGCGGTCTGCCCGCCCTTTCCCGAGTGCCACCCTGTGCCCTTTTTCTGACGCCCTGCCCTTTTTCGTAAGTCCATGCCTTTATTGCCGTAATGTTTTGATGAAAATACAATTATTCTACCTGTCTTCATATTTATGACAAGTTTATGACCCTCATCTAATTAACATTTACAGCAGGTGTAATAAGTTGTGATTACAGATAATCCGCTTATCGACATCGGATGGGTCATTAATCCATTAATTAAACTTCATAATTGATCATTGTAATAATTTTCTCATTAAATTCGGTCAGTCAGCATTTCAATTTCAATATTTCTCAAAAGATGACAATTTGCGTTTGATGTATCCGTAGATCGTCTGTTGTTTATATTTTAAAGATTTTTTTTAAATTGATCTTTTAAACTAGTTTTAATCCAGAAGAAAGTGAAAACAATGCTTGACTGTACCTTTCATTGAATATCTATATCCAAATTAAATTAATTAAAGTTCTAATCCATGATCACAAATTGACTGCTTTGTTTACATTTGTTGAAAGCCATGTGCTTTTTTGGCGGGAAAATTCGGAAACCCCCTTTAACAAGAAACAGTTACATTTCATTGTTATTTATAGACACTAATATTTTATTTTGATTAACTGCTAAGATTATTTCATTAAAAATGAATACTTTCTTGGGATTAAACTGATAATACTTTAATACTCTACATCTAGGGGTGTGTAAAATGGAAAGGGGGGGTGGGGGGATTTTTAAAAAAGATTTTTTATATATAATATTACAAATATAAGTTTAACAGTCTGAAAAGACATGGTTAAATGGATTTTAATTCTGAAAAACTCAATGTGGTTTATTATAATTCATTTCTTATTTCTATCATAATCAGAAACACTGGGCTACATGTATTAGGCATTTCAAACATATATTATTGCCTTTATAAGAACATTCAAGACTATTAATAAGTATGTACCTGTAGTAAAAATGGTAGGGCCTTAAAATTTCTACTGGGCCCTTGGAAAAAAGTTTTGGGATCCAGGTTGGCCCCTGGAGAAAATGTAAGGTATTGTTCCTGACTGTATTGCAGATCTAGTGTAGTATTTTAACTGACATGCACAATTCATTTCACTAATGAAGTAAAAATAATTCTACAAAACGCCGTTGCGCTCTGCATTGCAACTTAACCTTAGACCTACCATGCATCAAAAATGTTCTAGAGAAGACTGGGCTAGTAATATACGTCCTTGCATGGTCCCTTTAATACTGTTACCCAAAATAAGGTTGATTTTCATCTAGCGTAAAAGTGACTTAACTCCCTCAAAACTCCTAGCTGAAACCCCTGCAGTTAACATAAGACAATGTTTGACATGCCCTTTTTGAAATATCAATCATCGTGCTAAAGTGCCCTTTTCATGATTGGCTCCCTGCCCTTTTGAAATCCTAGCTGGAACACTGATAAAGCAATAGGAGATGGAGAAATAATAAATACAAAGACTTGTACATAACTGAACATAAAGACTTGTACATAACATAACATCATGACTTGTACATAACTTAACATAAAGACTTGTACATAACATCATGACTTGTACATAACTTAACAGAAAGACTTGTACATAACTTAACAGAAAGACTTGTACATAACTTAACATAAAGACTTGTACATAACATAACATCATGACTTGTACATAACTTAACATAAAGACTTGTACATAACTTAACAGAAAGACATGTACATAACTTAACATAAAGACTTGTACATAACATAACATCATGACTTGTACATAACTTAACATAAAGACTTGTACATAACATAACATCATGACTTGTACATAACTTAACATAAAGACTTGTACATAACATAACATCATGACTTGTACATAACTTAACATAAAGACTTGTACATAACTTAACAGAAAGACATGTACATAACTTAACATAAAGACTTGTTCATAACATAACATCATGACTTGTACATAACTTAACATAAAGACTTGTACATAACTTAACAGAAAGACTTGTACATAACTTAACATAAAGACTTGTACATAACATAACATCATGACTTGTACATAACTTAACATAAAGACTTGTACATAACATAACATCATGACTTGTACATAACTTAACATAAAGACTTGTACATAACATAACATCATGACTTGTTCATAACTTAACATACAGACTTTTACATATACACAAATAAACATCAGATATATCGATATTCAGAGAAAATAACTCTGCCTGTCCAATAATTATAAGTAGTTTTGTGATAATTTCTATCTGACAGACATTTTGTCTAGATATTTAAAAAAGCCTGTCTGATTTAACCAAAATTTGCCCAACTTATCAAACTATAAGGACATGTTTAGAAGTTATTCTCTTTTAAAATCCGATTTTTTCTCAAAAGACCTTGTTGAAATATTGTTGGAATTGCAAAGAAAAGATTAATTATGAATTTATTTCAGAGAAAATGAGTTGCTGAAAAATCAATTGAGACGTTATGTTAATGCTGTACAGATGTTGAGAGCAGAGGGTTCACAGGATGAAAGCTGTAAGTCCACTTTGTAATATAATATAACTGTTAACATTGTAGTATCACAATATTGTGTGATTTCCCTTTAAGGATGTGTACCTGCATCATTTAATATTAAATTCTGCATTTTGCACCTGTTTAAATTCAATCATACATTTTCTAGTGCAAATAAAACTGTTGTAATTTTCCCAACTATGCAGTACTATCTTTAAATAATTTTAATTTTGGATGTAACATGTCTTCTGATTGGCTGAAAGTGTTTTGTCTATTAGCTCATAGACATAATTTTTTCATGTGACAGTGAAGTCACCAATGTTTTTTTATGTTATTTCTTCATAGACAGAAAAAAAATTACAGTCATTCCTTAAAATGATGAAAATAGTTATACATATTATTTATGCGCAAATTGATTGTGTATTTAAAGGTATGAATTACTTCGTACAAATGCTTTAAATCAAACCAGTACATTTAGGTTTGATATATGATAAATGAAAGGCACCATGGTATTTTGAAACCATGTATGTTTTCTTTATTGTTATCAGATGTTAGGGAGGGGAATCTATTCAAATAAAAGAATAAGTCTTGAATGGCAATTTTCTATAACAGTCAAATGTTTATATTTCAGTACAGTTAGGAGTACCTGTAGAGGAACCACAGCCCAATATACCTCCTGCTAAATCCAATATAGATTATAGCCATGAAGCTTCTGAATATGAGCAGAAACTCATACAGGTATGATGTAATTTTTCGGATACAAGAATGAGTAAGGCACCATTTTCACATACTTTTCATCATTGTTTATATTTGCATTATAGATTATTAGTATTAATGTTGCTTGAGTGCTTGATATCCAGTGGCAAATATGCTAACGTCACAGTACCCAAATTGCACAGAGTACCCAAATTGCACCTATTCAACAAAAATAGCTGCGGAAATCTGACAAGTTTTCTTTGAGACAAATCAATTTGTATTTTTATGATTTGACATTTTACACGTCTTTCAACATAGGTAAATATATTTAAATATACACAAAACGTTCACAGTATGTATCAACAGATTAAGCATCCACTGGAAAAGTAAAATCTACGGAAACATCGCCATGTGACGTTCACAAAAAGTCATCTTTTAAAAATGAGCAAATAAAATATGTAACAAGCATCCATTTCGTGAAAAATGAATAGAAAGCATGGACTAATGTCAAATTGTTCTAAATATTTGAAGAAATAAAACAAAACATCTGTTATTCGATTTTTAAGGATGTGAATTTACACATGGATGCAATTTGGGTACTCCTCATTACAGAATCATTTAGAGGTCGGTTTAAACCAATTTTTCTATGATTCAATATAGATTCAAAATTAAATTGGTGTTACAATATAGTAAATATGGATACATCTACAAAATGAACATAAAAAGGAAACTTTTGTCCGGACCATAAAAAAACGTAGGTGAAAAACTGTCAAAATAGGTGCAATTTGGGTACCCTCACGTTATGCATATTAAGAATAACAAACAAACACACAAATGACAAAACCTGTGTCCACCTAGTATAGGATTTCAATTCACATTAGCCTTCCCATCAAGAATTTCAAAACTCTTCTAGTTTTGAAAAACTAGAATTTTAATAGTAGAGGGCGTTGTGTTTCCAGTCTGTGTGTCTGTCTGTCCATCCATTTGTCAGTTTGGTATTGTGTTAAAGTTTTGGTTTAAATAAGTTAACCATGAAATTGTTGTCAAATCAACCTTAAACTTAGTATATATGTTCATTATGATGTTAACTTTAGAAATAAGTGCCAAATTAGGTTTTTGATCCAGATTTTGAGATTCACTGAACATGAAATGTGATAGCATGGGAGGGGCATGGTGTTCAAAAACTCACCAAAAATGTGATAGGAAGCAACCATGTTATTGATTGTTGATAGATCACTAAAATGCATTGGGTGTGGATGGATTTATAAAAATGTACACTTTTTGTTTTTAGGTTGCTGAAATGCATGGAGAGTTGATGGAATTTAATGAGATGTTACACAGGCAACTGAATCACAAAGAAGCATATATAAGGAGATTACAACAGGAGTTAATTGATCTGAGAGGACCGGTAATTTTAATTGAGGGAGAAAAAAAAAGCACTTCATTGACATTAGAGGACCTGTGATATAAGTTCAAACACAAAAAATAAACACACTGACTTATGGATAATAAAGACAGGAGTAAATTATTATAAGTAATTCTAATGCAAGTATTTGGTATCAATGGTTCTGATTGGATGACAGTAAGCGTAAAATTCTCTATCTCCTTGTCTGTAACTAAGGAAGCCGACATTTTGAATTGCGGAATGTATTGACATGTAATTTCTACAATAATAAGCCAAAAAACTCACTTGTTACGCCTCAAAATCTTCTTTTTATAAAATTTTATTACATTCTGAACTGACCAAGAAGCCAGAAAACGCCCGGTGTTTACGTTTCATGCCGGAAGCATACCTATGACATCACATAGTTTAGGGGCCAAAGAAGATAACATCTTTTCGCAGAATATTCTTTAATGAAATGTTACACTGAAATAATGATTGAAATTGAATTATGTACTTGTTTTGCATTAGAATAGAGATAACTGTATTGTATTTGAAGCTTTGCAGATGTCCATCGGCAGTTTTACTGTAGCCAGGTAAACTAAATTTGTGACAGTAATACTACCGATGGACGTCTCGCAAAGCTTCAAATACAATACAGTTATCTCTTAAAAGTCAAACAGCAACTCAAGCAGGCTGTCAATGGGGACCCACTGCCTATTTTTTTCTGCATAGAGATAAAAAAAAATTATGGGGGGAGGGAGGAAGGCTGAAAAAAGGGTGGAAATATCAAGATTGCAATCAAAAACCATATGATGTCATGTAGAATTTCAGTTTTCCATCAATTTTATTGGATGAATCAAACCAAACAAGGTAAGGCTGGATATGGGAAACTGCAGCTTAATTTTTTCTGACTGTAGTTTTTATGCATTTCTAAGGCCGAAGCAATATTATGCATAGTTACCACAATTGTTGGACTTCCATTTTGTTCAGTACAAAATGACTATAAAACTCTAATGCATTTTGATATCTGCCTTATAGATCAATATGGTCATAAATTATACCAAATGTCTTACTATGTATGAAGGATTTTTTCTATATTAGCTTTTATTTTTAATGCTCAGTTTGGAAAAAAAACCAAAGAAGTTTAAACATAAAAATAAATAAAACAAAGAAGGGATATAAAGATTTTCTCCAAGATCAACATTGCTTCAAAGAGCTGTAATCTTAAGAGTTTGATTAATTGGGAAAAGTTTACCACATCTTAAATTCAGAATATTTGATTCCTCTATACTTTCAGTTACCTAGAGATTTACATATGCATGGTGATCAGATTTCTAGTGACTCAGATAGGTATGTAATAGAAAAACAAAGGATATAGGGTATCTATCCATGACACACAATCAGTACATGCATAGCAAAAAACACACAAAAAGCAAAGGAACAGTGCTTTTATTGCTGTTCTTCATCTCAAAGTTACAGTGAGGCCTTCAACACGCAGCCAAAAAAAAATGTGTATATACTGCATGTGTACAAAATGTATAAAATAAATAAGAATTGGAATATAGAGTAAATCCATACTGATAGGCTAATTTGCCTGGTAGATACTCATGAGACAAAACAAAACAAAAAACCTGAAATGGATATCAGTAAAAAACGAAGTCTCTGCATGGTATTAACATGTATCTGTTTTGATTGATATGAACTAGAAGAATTAAGCAGTAATTTAATTGTAGAAAAAAGCTTAAACCATCAGCAAGACTAAAAAATGGAATCAGAATTTATATTACACATATATTTATGTACATATCTACATTGAAATAGTTTTTATTTTCAGCCTTTCTGTGCAATCAAAATCTCTTATCAATATATGGATTCCATCAGCATTTATAAGAGGATCCCCAAGGGATAATTATCATGTTTATCAGGTAATCAATACACATTGTTTCAAAGTCCACATTGAAATACTGTTAATTTATATTTATTCATGGATTTATTCACCTATTCTGTTGATTTTATGTGTAAATCCACAAAACTTTTTTATCTTAAATCGCCTTTCTGCTTTTTAGGGGTAAAAAATGCAATCAAATCCACATAGTCACTGCCTGGTTAGTTATATATTTTAGCCATGTCTCTACATGTGATTTATTAGTACATACAACATAGTGAAGTGAGGAAGATGCCAGTGTCAATAAATAAATAAATAATATATACACGGATATTCAATTTGCAAAAATGATGTGCTTTTTTTTTTTATTTACATAAGTTGCATGGCTTTTCTACCTACAATTAGAACTAATCTGATCAGTATACATTATCTTCACAAATTCACCTGTCCATAAGAATTTAGATATTTAGATTGAAACCCGTTTCTTTTTGTATTGACGTGTTCAATAATGTATAAATTTGAGGTAAACAGTACGACAGAAGAAAAAATAAAGAAAATAATTTGTAGATTCTTTGATCTTTGATGGTTTTGTGTAGAATACAATACAAATATATTTTATACTTTTACTTTGTAAAGCTTTACCGTACATCTATTATATATTAATTACATCATTGATTTCTAGGTTTATGTAAGAATCAAAGATGAAGAATGGAATGTGTATAAACGATACAGTGAATTTAGAGATTTACATGTTCATCTACGGAAGAAATATCCGATTGTTAATAAGTACGAATTTCCACCTAAGAAAACTATTGGTAAAAAGGTAAGGATAGATCAGTGATTAGATAATAAGCCATTTATAATATTATGAAGGCTTTTTGAGAACATACTATGGATGGCAAAGTGCTACATTTTCCCAAATTTTTCACTAAATAGTGCTATCTATTTAGAAGAAAAGCATTTTGTCATCCTTAACACTTAACTTGTAAAGGGCTGTTATATCGACGTAAAAAAAATATTTCTATTACTTACATTCTTCTCGAAAGATTGTAGTAATAGGTATGAATGAAAAGAAATATGGGTACTATAAATTCAGAAATAATTGCGAGATACAATCGCAATAATTAATTTCACATTTTTGTCTTTTCTTCTGCAATCGCAATAATAAATGCACGCAATAATTTCTGAATTTACAGTATTCTAAATGTGGAATTGATGCCCTAATATTTGTGATGTTAGCCATTCAAAATGAATTTCACAAACAATGTTGCATTAGAATCTGAATTTGCCATGGACTCATATTAACTATGAACCATAATGATTAGTGAAGTACTCTTGATCATACATTTTAGTATCTTCTTTTAAATTTTACAGGATGCAAAAGTTGTTGAAGGGAGAAGGAAAATGTTTCAGTCTTATTTGCGTAGTGTTGTGAATTATCTATCTGAAAACGATCCAGGTTTGGCAGACAGTATATGTAAAGTCAAACTCTCAGTTTTTCTACCGTTCTTCAGGTAGGTATAAGAACTTATAATATAGGTTAAATTTGTAATTACACCCCCTGCAACAAAGATGTGTAGGGTATAATGTTTTTGACCCGTCAATCAGTCATTCTGTTTGTCCTATTCTTGTCATCACAACTCCTCTGAAACCACTCAACAGAATTTCATGAAACTTTGTAGATAATAAGGACATACTATGTAGATGTGCATATCGACAGGAAATTATGATTAAATTATTTTTCTAGGAGTAATGCCACTTTGAACTTAGAATTTTGGCCTAAATGTACTACTGCAACAGTTTGTAATCACAACTCTTCTGAAACCACACAACAGAGTTTCATGAAACTTTGAAGTTAATGAGGACATAATATGTAAATGTGCACTTTGACCTATAATTGTTTACTTTTTATACATTGTGACTTGGATGGAGAGTTGTCTCATGGGCACTCATACCACATCTACTTACCGGTATTTCTATATACCCACAAGAAATTTTTATCAGTTGTTTTTTTGAGGAGTTATTAGTCTTTGAACTTAGGAATCTGTTGAGATTTTGTTTGTCCACTGACAATGTGGGGGGTGTGTGGTATGCCAGTTAAATTACAAAAAGTTAATTCACTTGTAATTAATACTTCCTAAATGTTTATAAAATATTTTTCAATATGAATACAGTACAAAAAAGAGCAACCCAGCAATACAAATCGTTAAGATGATCATTTATTTATTTATTTTTTTTTAGTGATAAGCCAATTGAAAAGGGAGAGAAAAAGAAAATGAAGAAGACTGTATCATCTACATCATTACCAGGAAATGTTCCTGAACCAATAAGGGAGACAATGCAAAATCAGTATGATGGATTATAGCGATATTGTAGCAGGTGGTTAAGAAACTTGTGCTTAAAATGTGATATTATTTTTTTTTATCTTAGTAAAATTTCCTTCTTGAGGCACTACAGGCGACTTACAGTTAACTGTTGCTAAATGCCTCTTTGTATGTGACAAGTATATTTGCTTGCCAATAAAAGGCAAAAATATCTATATACCAATGTATACATGTGACAGGCTAAATATACTCCTATCAGGATAGATTTTTTAATTTTAATACAAAAAATGGACCTATTGCTCAAGAACTTCTTATAATTTCATTCTTTAGATTTGTGAATCAAATTTCTACAATATTGTATCATAATTTTATACTATGATGTTTTTATGAAATATTATCAATATATAGGTGTCAACTCTATCATATCTATACATATTAATTTTGGGAGCCTCCAAATGTTATTTTCCAAAATTGGGAAATCTCCCAACTCAAGGCCAGTTTCCTGTTGGGGAGGTCAAATTTTCTTATTTGGAGATAATCTCTGAATGTCTCCTTATTTCATCAGTATTTCATTAAAGTAGCATTTTTTCAGGCAAAAACTGAAATATTATTGCCAAAACCACCACACATTGGCTTCTTAATAAAGTTGATTGATATATTTTAAAGCATTTCAAAATTAACTCCAAAAAGGAAGATTAAATAATATGAAAAGCAGGGAGACATAGGTTCTACAGCAAAACTCACTTAGAGGGAAGTCTCATACTTTGAAGGTTTAAAAAGTTGTCGCCTATGAGGTGACAATATATTTTTTGAGGATGAGGAGGTTTATATCTCCCAGACTGGAAATATATATGCTGGTAATATTAACACATTCTCACATACCATTTTGATTTGTTATTGTTAATAGGTACATTTCAGTAAAGACCAGGTCTTTTATCTTGGCCTGAGCCTTTTTAACTTCTAATTTTGAATTTATCAAAACCAGGTGAAAAGATGATTAACCAAGTTAACAAAACTGTGAATAAAACAGTTAAATAAAGAGAATAGAATTAAAGAAGACAAACTTATGATGGGAACTTGGCCAGTATTTTGATTTACAATAATAATATTTATAAAAATATTTTTTGCACTTTTTGCACCACGGCAAATAATATAATTTTTAATATTTCAATTGAGAAAAACTATAATGATACACAATACTTCATTATGTAAATACCCTTTAAATGCACTTTTAACCATACCCACTATGAACCTTACTTATGATAAACCTTTAAAAGATTCTCTTTAACAACCTTCTGTCAATAATCTTTATAAATTAAGGTAGACAGGAATATTTTTTTGAAAAATTTGTTGTATAAACCGAGTAATTGTTTTTTTTATTTTTGTCATATTGTAGATTTATCTCCCTTATTTTTGTCATGATATTGTAGATTTGTCTCCCTTATTTTTGTAATGATATTGTAGATTTATCTCCATTATTTTTGGTCATGATATTGTAGTTTATCTCCCTTATTTTTGTCATGATATTGTAGATTTATCTCCCTTATTTTTGGTCATGATACTGTAGTTTATCTACCTTTGTTCATGTTTTTTTTTAATTCCTGATGATTTGACTATGTATAGTTGATGTGCTTGCCAGTCATTCTGTTTGCCAAAATATTGTATTAGTCTGAATTTAACAACGTATTTTAAACTTTTATGACAATTTGAAATTTGCAATAGTGTGTATTTACATTTTAATTCAGGTCATCTCTCATTTTAATTTCAACTTTTTTTATAAAGAAATAGCAGATGTAATATTGAAAACATTGATTATAACTGTATGATTAAATTTTGTTGTTTTTTTTTTTTCGGTTTGTACGGGCAATTCCATTAAATACCAGTGATATGGAGAATGGGTGTGTCTGTAGAGGGCACTATTTTATTTCCTCAACAATATAGAAAATTTATAGCACTTCAGGTTTTCCGCTGTCTGTGGCCATTTTCGCATTTTGCAAAAAAATAAAAGTTACGGCCATTCAAATTCATTATTGGTGTGTTCGCAGCATAGTTTTGCATCTCATCTTTTTTTAACGATGGTGCGGAAAAGAACTGTTGTTTTGAAGAAAAATGTTCAAAAGTAAGAAAAATCTCGGGCCTTTATCATTCACTTAGACAGGAAGTATGTGATAAACTTATAGAAGATGAATCCCGTGTTTCCAGAAGTCAAATATGAAGATTTCATGATTTATGTTGCAATTATACAGGTTCTTTTAAAAAGTAAATGTTTATAATGAGTGTTTGTGTATTGCAATGTACACTTAATATGCAGAATTTTAATAGATTAGACAACAATGCTGCAAACTGATTTTTATTTGTTAGCAAGTAGGAAAATTTAAAACAAAAAATAGGTTTATGTAAATTGGTGAAAAAAATAGTTTGGCGAAAGAGGTGGCGTAAAAGAAAATTGACCCAAGAGAATCCCTGTAGCACTTCATATGATACAGAATGCTTAAATAATAAGTGTATATACATATGTATTACATGTACTTTAATTCTAAGCAGATTATAATTTTCACAACTGGTTGTGTATGTTTTGATAAGTGCGTATTTTTGCTCTTTATCAATTTTGATGTTAATTTCCTTGCTTTTCTTTAGTTTTGCCATTGTGATGTCATGGAAAAAGTCTACAATGATTGATGATGTCACAAAGAGAGGACACAATTTATTTTTTACTTAACCAGGAAAGAATGTCGAAGTCTACTTACATATCTTCTAAAAAATGTGAGAAACAGATTTGTTCACTGTTTCTTGTTTAATGCAATATTTCTGCATTCTTTAATTGTAAATATCAAATATTTTAAACCTCTTGCCTTTTAAATTTGGTAATTTAAAATGTCTTCAGTGGAAACTTGTGTTATCTAAAGGTGCTGGTAAAATCTTTGTATATTCATATATCTAATCTTGGAATATATGGCAGTGTGTAAAAGTAAAATAAACATAAATCAGTAAAATTTTACTATTTGAATTTTTTTTTTAAATACAATTTACATTTATCTATTAAAGTCCTAGCTCTGAAAATTAAATTTTAAAATATTTTCGAAGCAACATCTATGTTTTTGAAATGTTGACTGAAACTACGAATTTGATGAGTTAAGCCAATTGGCTAAGTTAAATACAATTGTGAACATGTGTTGTGATACAGGAAATAGACATGTCAATATATGATTAATATAATGATTGTATTTAGAGATTATGGGACCATGTGCAATATGGTGTTCAATATTGCTTTGCATTAGCAGTACTATTATAGTATAGCCGCTGCAAATCTTTTATGTGATGTTCAAATAAAATAAATATTTACAATAAATTGTTTAATAGTCTTACAATTTTCATCTACAATTTCAAAGTTAGATTACTGGGTTTGTACTAACATGAGCAAGACGACGGATGCCAGATGTGGAGCAGGATCTGCATACCCTTCCAAAGCACCTGAGATAATGTTGACCTTATTTGGCTTTTGCTCATTAGATGGATGACACAATGGATATTGACCTTGAGTTATGACCTTGTTCATCCTAAAAGGTTGTCATGGCCTGTTGTTCAGATTTGAGAAGTCACTAAACAGATGGAAATGTTTAGATACTGTTGTGGTTCTCTTAACATAGTTAAGATTTAAGGAACAATGCATTACAATCTTAAAGTTGTTCTAATCCCCTTCTTTTACCTCACCTAGGTGAAAGGATTAGTTTGAGCTATCCAATGTTATTCCATAACTTTTTCATTTGCGTAAATGTAACTGAGATCAATAACTACAGGAGTTGAAAAATTTATGTCACTTTTATTACTAAAATATGGTCTTAAATTGTTTTAGATAATTATTATCCCTAAGTATTTTGGGCCAATATCTTTGGAACCATATAAGGATTTTTTTTTCATATGCTTATGTGTCTTATGATAAAGATGCACCACAAAATAAGAAGATCAGGTTACCTTAACCATATTGTATACTCACTTGTATATGGTTGGAGACTGTTGTCCTCGACATGTCTTTTTGTTGTTTGTTGTGTCATTAATGTATGTCATACATCTCTTTTAATTCACTGTGATGAAGGTACAGCTAGAAAAGTGGATCAGATTCTGTTGGACTTTGATTTGGTACAGTGGGCTGCTTTCAGTCTGATAGTCTGTTAGTGCTTTGACACTGACAGTGACAACCAACGTCATGGCTTTGACATGGGAGATGAAGAGAAAGACAGAGGTCACCGCACTTTCATGGAACCTGACTTGACAGTTTAATTTTATGCAAGTATTTGGTCAAGTTAAATTGATGTACAAATGTATCTCAAAGATTATAAAAGTGACAAATTTAGAGTCAGAAATTGTAAATCTGGTGTGATCAAAATAAAAAGCAATGGATTCATGCCAACATACAACACTGACACTTAAAGTCTATTTGGAATGCCCCAGAAAGGTTAAATTAGCATATCTTATCATACTGCCCAGTAGTCAGTAATTACTGGTAGTCAAATCTGAGGAGGAAACTAAATGCATTTACGTAAAAGATTTCTTCAACCATTTGTGAGACATCTACCTCACACAGCCCACAAACTTGATGACAACCATAAAAGTTACCATTTGATTTTTGTCAGTTGGGTAAAGCAGAGATAGCCACTCGAGGATCTGTAAAAATACTGGTAGCTTAAGTGATCCTACTCCTTTTGATGTCGACACATAATCAAGATTCATCATATAATCAGTGGTCCATTTTGATGAGGTTTCAATTTCATATTTCATCCTTTTGTCCATATGTTTGCATAGTTCTCCACAACATTTTTCTGTATACCAAAAAGAAATTGCTGATATAAACCTATGATATAAGTTTCATAAAAATCTGGCAAGAATTGTACACTTGAGAGCGCTAACGGTGCAATTTTCCAAATTATTAAAGTTTCCAAGGAGCATAACTCTTTTAAAAATAATTGATCGGCACTGATTTTCGAACTCATCAAAGACATTGCTGATATAAACCTATAATATAAGTTTCATAAAAATCTTGCAAGAATTGTACACATGAGAGCGCTAATGATGCAATTTTCCATATAATTAATGTTTCCAAGGGCATTTCTCTTTTAAAAATAATTGATCTGCACTAATTTTCGAACTCTTCCAAGACATTGCTTATATAAACCTATGATATAAGTTTCATAAAAATCTAACAAGAATTGTACAAATGAGAGCGCTAACAATGCAATTTTCCATATAATTGATGTTTCCAAGAGGCATTACTCTTTTAAAAATAATTGATCGGCACTGGTTTTCGAACTCGTCCAAGACATTGCTGATATAAACCTATGATATAAGTTCCATAAAAATCTGGAAAGAATTGAACATGTGAGAGCGCTAACAAGATCGGACGGACGCCTGGTATTTCTATGTCCCCTGGGCAATATTTTTTTGAGGTAAAATAATCTAAATATTCTTATTAAGCAGAGGACAACCCATGCCTAGCAAATTTTAGGAGGGGACACGCCTGCCACACCCCCACCTGAATCCGTCCCTGAAAACTGAGAGAGACGATCTGACGGGGGCAAAAATGTTCAGCATGATGAGAATTACCTGTTGTAATTGATGTCAAAACTGTCAGATGACTTCTTATAGAAGTTATTGCCCTTAAACGACAAATTTTACCATTTTTTTTTCATTTTTGCCCATTATTTCGAAAATTATAATAGATAGATAGAAACTTCAAACAAAAAAAATGATCAGCAAGACGAGATCTACAAATAAGTCAAAATTAATGATTGAAATTGTTTGTCAACACCTCATTGAAGTGATTGCCCTTTAATGACTTTTTTTCCAAATTTTTTGCGTTTTTGCTTATTATTATGAAAACTACAATAGAAAGATAGAAATTTTAAATAGCAATAAAATGCTCGGCAGGGCGCAGCTTGATACGACCGCAGAGGTCGAACTCTGAACAATTGGGGCCAGTATGGACACAACATTCAAGCTTGATACAGCTCTGAATTTGGATGGTGATTAAATATTTGACACAGCATAAGTTTCTGACACAGAATGAATGTGGTCTAATGAAGTAAAAAAAAATCAAATTTACCTATTATGGTCCAATATCCAAAATCTAAATACATGGATTGATTCAGCATATCAAAGAATCCCAAGAATTCAATTTTTGATGAAATCAAACAAAAGTTTAATTTTGGACCCTTTTGACCTCAATGTGGACCAATTTGATAACGGGGCCCAAAAATCAAAAATCTAAATACATGGTTAGATTTACCATATCAAAGAACTCCATATATTCAATTTTTGTTGAAATCAAACAAAGTTTAATTTTTGGACCCCAATTTGGACCAACTTGAAAACTGGGCCGATAATCAAAAATCTAAATACACGTTTAGATTCAGCATATCAATGAACCCCAAGAATTCAATTTTTTTAAAATCAAACTAAGTTTAATTTTGGACCCTTTTGACCTTAATGTAGACCAATTTGAAAACAGGACCCAAAATTAAAAGTCTAAATACACGATTAGATTCTGCATATCAAAGAACCTCAATAATTCAATTTTTGATGAAATTAAACACAGTTTAATTTTGGACCCTTTGGACCTCATGTGGACCAATTTGATAAAGGAGCCCACAATCCAAAATCTCTCAATACATGGTTAGATTCAGCATTTCAAAGAACCCCATCAATAATTTTTTTGTTGAATCAGACAAAGTTTAATTTTGGACCAACTTGAAAACTGGTCCCAAAAATCTAATATTAGAAAAGTATTGTTTTTGGCCCCTAATTCCTAAACAGTTTGGGCCATAACCCCCAAAATTATTCCTAACCTTCCTTTTTTGGTATGGAACCGTGTGGTACAATTTCAGAAAGATCCATACACTAACACACAATTTATTTTCTGGAAACTAGAAAAATACTTATTTTGACCACTTTTGGGCCCCTTGTTCCTAAACTGTTGGGACCATAACCCCCAAAATCAATCCCAACCTTTCTTTTGTGGTTTCAAACCTTGTGTTTAAATTTCATAGAGATCCATTCACTTAAACTAAAGTTATTGTCTGGAAACTAAGTGTCTTCGGACGACACTGACAACGACGACGACAACGTGATACCAATATACAAATGCAAAATTTTTTTGCGGCTGTGTAAAAATGATTGGCCAGACAAGATCTACAAATAAGTCAGTAGGACCGAAGTATATTGGTATGACGTTGGCGTCGTCATCGTCCGAAAACACATTGGTTTTCGCACAATAACCTTAGTTTAAGTGAATGAAAATAACTTGTGGAACAGTGTATGAATCTCTCTGAAATTATACCACAAGTCTCCATACCACAAAGGGATGGTTATGATTGGCTTTGGGGGGTTGTGGCTCAAATCGTTTAGGAATTAGGGGCAAAAAAGTGAGAAAAAACAAGGGTGTACTGGTTAATGGACAATTACTTAAGTACAAATTACAGTGTAAGGGAGGTAATTCAAAAACTACTTTGAATTACCTCCCTTACACGGCTTTTAAATAATGTACAAAGAATTTTTGTATTGTCTTGAGGTGATTAGCTGTCAATTCATTTTTAGAAGTTACTATTTAAATAATTTTAAAAATACTGATTAAGGTAAATTAATTTTAGCTATGATTATGTATAATTTTTTCTCCTCAAGATTTCAGAAATCAAAAAGAAAATCCTTCTAATTATTATTTTTTTTTTAAAAAGGGCAGGGGGGAGGTCAATTCGCAACAGCATAGTGTATTGCACAAAAGCAAAAAATTGCTTATAAATTCAAATCATATAACCAATTATAAGTTCTTTGACTAGTTATTCTGTGTCAGAAACCTATTATGTGTCAAATATTGAATTACAATCCAAATTCAGACCTGTATCAAGCGCGAATATTGTGTCCATTTTTGCCCCAACTGTTCAGGGTTGGACCTCTGCGGTGGTATCCAGCTGCGCTCGGTGAAGCAATTTATTCCTTTTATCTTGAAACTATAATACATGTAGATAGATAGAAACTTTAAAAAGCAAAATTGATCAGCAAGACAAGATCTACAAATAAGCCATCATGGTCAAAATCTTCAATTGACTCTTTATTGGAGTTGTTGCCCTTTAATGATAATATTTGCCATATTTTGCATTTTTTGCCTATTATCTTGAAAACTATAATAAGAAATAGAAACTTTAAAAAAAAAATTATCAGCAGGACAAGATCTACAAATATGTCAACAGTGCCGAAATTGTCATTTAACTTTAGTACTGTTATTCCCCTTTAATGATGATTTTTACAAAAAAGTGACAATTGTTGAAGATGCAGATGAGCGGCACAGGCTATTTAGACCCTCGAGTTGTCATTTTTTGTAATTCGGTGTTGATGACAAATCTTATATAGTCCGTTAAATTTATTCACAACTTTTCTATACTTCAGTTGTTTTCAGAGCTTGATATACGACAAATGGTCTAAATAGGCAAAAGGGGGGTGGGGGGCTGGCATATATGTATAGCTGATTTCTCCTAACCACAAGATGTGCCTGTACAATGTCAAGCTATCTAAAACATGTGTTGTTCGTGGATGTTCATCTGTGTTTACATATCTACTTTTCAGAAGTGGTCAAGCGTTGGTGTGGTTTGTTGTACTGTCCATTAATTTTGGTAGTTCTTGTTATCCTTTTAAATGAATCATTATATTGATTAGACACTAGTCCTATCTATTGTTGAAGAGCATTTGTTGACCTATATATGTTTTTTAGTGTTGTTGTGTTGTTGTGTTGCTGTCTCTACACACAAAGCTGATTTATATCCTTGACATAGCTGTAAACATCTCCTTGACAGGATGGAATTTTAAGATTTAAAATTTTTCTAGTTGATTCAATGGTTGCAATTCACAATAAAGTCAAACTTGAGTTACCTGAATTAAGTACTCAGGAAAATGTTTTTCATTTTATCTTAAAGAATGTATAAAAAATACTGAAACAGGTCCCAAAGATTTAGAGCTTTAGATATGGTATATGGATGCATGTCAAGTGTTGAAAAGCTGTTTGTTGCCCTTAAATGTTTTTTTCCGCTTGTTGTTAGTTGTTGGGTTGCTTGTCAATCAAATACATCCTACATCTCCATGTTTTCTAAGTATTCAAATGACTTACACAAAAAGATGAAACAAATTGTATATTAATTTTTTATTTCTTCACATATATCTAAAACAACATATTTAATAATAATTAAAGGTAAACAGTATCATAAATCATCCATGCTCTGTAGAACTGGTTTTGAGGTTGAATTTTCTTTTCGGTTAGAAATTTCACTGTCATTTTCATCAATTTTGTGCACAGAAGTAAGCTGCCCATTTTCTATATTGTTATATGCATGCTTCCACAACCCTGAGTTTGCTATTTCTCTACTTACAACAAGTAATAGCTCCTTATCACCCTCATGTAGTTCTGACTGTAAATAATCAAGTAATAAATTATCATCACCGATTAGTTCTGGCGACTCTAATTTGGAGTCTAAATTGTAATAAACATCTCCTATTTTCCTGAATGATATCCAATGTTTTCTCTTAAAAGGTAGATGGAAAAATCCCCATTTATAGTCCGAAGGTGTGTTCAGAATGAACCCAAATATGTTATCTGGAGAAAGGCACCTTATATCCCTGAAAAATATTTTTAAAATATTAAAATTGAGTTGAAAATCATATTACATGTTATTTTCATTTTGAAATCTCCATTTTTAAACAGTTCAATTATGCAAGAACAAAATAAAATATGTTTGTTTCTTCCATTCATGCCTTTGTTTGTTCTTCTATGAATATATCATGGCACCATAATTTAGATTAAACAATATTCAGATACAAAGTGTCTAAATTTTAGAGCATGTTTTCCATTCAAATCCTTATTGTAAAGGAAATCAAACCTTTCCCCAGAATCAGTTGGTGTTTACCATGGCATTTAAATTTTTGCAAAGTGAACTGTTGCATTTAATAGACAAATAGCTTTTGTTCTCTGTGGCAGTCATTCAATGGGAGCTAAATTGCTTTAAATATTTTCTTGATAGCCAATCATTCATCTGGATGTACAAAAAAACTCCTAGTGATTAAAATACAAGCACATGTAACAATACTTATAAATTAAATAAATGTATTTACCACCTAACCTTTGTATAGCAGAACCAAAAATTAATAAAATGCTTTGCCGAGCGCAGTCTGATACGACTGCAGAGGTCGAACCCTGAACAGGAGCAAGTTTGGACACAATATTCAAGCTTGATACTGTCAGAATTTGGATTGTGATCAAATTTTTGACATAATATAGGTTTTTGACACAAAATAAATGTGATAAAAGATCTTAAAAATTTGAAATGAGAAATTTTATTTCCCTAGTATGGCCTGATATCCAAAATCTAACAACATGGTTAGATTCAGCATATAAAAAACACCAAAAATTTTATTTTAGTTGAAATCAAACAAAGTTAAATTTTGGACCCTCTTGCTATTGTGCAATACTATGCAACTGAAGATTTCTTGCTATTGCGCAAAACTGTGCAACTGAAGATTTCTTGCTATTGCCCAATATTGTGCTATCGAAGATTTCTTGCTATTGAAGATTTCTTACTATTGCGCAATACTGTGCAATTGAAGATTTCTTGCTATTGCGCAATACTGTGCAATTGAAGATTTCTTGCTATTGCGCAAACTCAACCCAGCCTTCCCTTTGTGGTAAGGTACCTTGTAGTACAATTTCAGAGAGATCCATGCACTTATACACAAAGTATTGTCTGGAAACTAGAAAAATGCTTGTTTTAGGCCCCTAATTCATGAACATTTGGGGCGATTACCCGCAAACTCAATCCCAGCCTTCCCTTTTTGACATGGAACCATGTGGTACAATTTCAGAGAGATCCATACACTTATACACAAGTTATTGTCCGTAAACTACAAAACTGCTCATTTTTGGCCCCTAATTCCTACACTGTTGGTACCATAACCCCCAAAATCAATCCCAACCTTCCTTTTGTGGTATTGAACCTTCTGGTAAAGTATCATAGAGATCCATTCACAAAAACTAAAGTTAAAAAATTTTTGCAGTCGTTTAAAAATTGTGGTTCAACATAATCATGATATTACAAATTTTCTGTAGGCTTAAGGATACAATTTCTCTTTACCACAAAAAGAGTCCAGGAAAAAAGAATTTTTTCTCAATCAACAAAAATTACTATCTGAAACAATGAATCCACAGTGTGAACCATGATCAAACATTAACTTTTTAACTTACTTTCGTTTATCAAACCAAATGGTTTCACAATCTTTTGTCTGTACTGCTGCCATCAATACATTGACATCATAGTTTCCAAAGCCAAGTAAACTTCTATGGGGATTTATAAAACAGTCTGGAGACAAGCTACAGAAGAAAAAGATATAATATGATAAACATTTAGGCGCATCAATATCACTGGAATACTGTTGTAAAGATAGCTGCTAGCCAGGGTACAATTTCTACTTAAAGAAATCATTTTCCTAGAAATTTAATGCTTTGTTATGAGTAAATAAGACTTTGTTGACATTTTTATAATGCTTGCTCTCCATATTCATCCAAGAAGACCTTCCAGATGTTCCAGCAATGACATAATAAAGAAGAAGACTTATTCACTGCTTCTTTGATATATTGGTTATTTCTCAGAATTCACTCATATATATCCACCACATGCAATTTTCTCTCCTAACTACGACACAAGTTTTTCTCTCATGCTGTATTGATGCAGTTAAAATATTTTGTTATCTTTAATTAGATTGATTAACAAATGTTATCAGACATTCAAGCTACAAAATATGTTGATAACTTGTTTATATCTTTATTTTGGAACATCACACAGAAATCTATGTGTTTCATGTACAATTTTAATTAACTCTTTTAATGTATAATACATAAACACCAAAATTTAAACCAATGCCATTTATTTAATACTATGTTGTACTTTGTTCTCTTATGACTAGTCCTTTCTACAGTTTTTAGAAGCTTAGCATATGAGATGCAATATGATGTAATAGTATTAGCATTATGATATTGGAAACGTATGGGAAAACTTGAATGTGAAAGTCATCTACTGGTTGAATTGTCAATACCAAAAACAATGGTTTTCTCATCAGTCATCGCTCTTTCAGAGCCAACATATTCATTTAAATACACCATTTCTAATTCAATTGATCATGAAACTACATTAGAAAAACTTTAAGTATGGTTTTAGCAACAGTTTGTGGAAATTTAGGAACATTTCAGTTAATTGAGTGCATTTGAGTATATTTGATTAGTTATATATGTAGGACTAGTGTGAATGGTGTTGGTAATCCTAACCATGATGGTCACGCTGAAGTGCGTTTTAAATCACACTGAAGTGTGATGGTGGCATTGTGATGCTATCTATTTGATTGCTACGCCAAAATGTGTTGGTGGTAATGCTGAAGCGTGATGCACTACATAAACTATGTATCAATGTTTTTCATGTTCACATGTCGAAGTTGATTGGTTTGTAAGAAGCAGCTTTTCAAAGTATTATTTTTAGAGTAAATCATTGACGGTCTTACCCATTTAATTCAAAACAGTCACATTAAATATTCATTACATTTCCAGCTATAACTGTATTGTTGTAGCTCAACACAAAAAAAAAAGCTTGGACAAAAATATTGATTGATTGATTGATTGGTGTTTGCCACTTTCAACACTACTGTGCTATTTCGTGGTGGTCAGTTTTTATTAGTGGAGGAAGCCAGAGTGCTCGGAGAGAACCAACGACCTTTGGTAGGAAAACCGACAATCCTAGTCAATTATTATAGGGACAAAAAGAAACCACAGCTCATACAATCGTTCATCGATAAATTGACCACTATATTTATTTTACATTAAAACATGTACTAATTTCAAAGACTGATAATAATGGAAGTATACTGTAGTTTGAAATGCAAATACTACTTGATTAAATAGAACAAACTTAAAATAAGCAACTAATCTTTTCGATTGCTGTGATGAGAGCAAATAATAAGATGGATCATTGTAAAAATGGTTTATGGAGTGTTTGGTATTTTCATACTAACTAATAAAAATTCAAACGATCATAATAATTGCACATCTTTGGATTTAAAACTAGTCATCATGCATCATGTAGACAATTGCAAATCAGCAAAAGGTCCATATAGTAATAAGGTGCAGACCATCATACTTCAGTTTGTCCATTGCACTTCAGCATCCCTATTCCACCTCTGAATCCTACATATATAACAAACATAAGCTTTGTTTAATGATATTGTGAATTATTGATCATTTTAATCAACTACTAAAAATGAAGTAAATAATATTATATTTCTATATAGGGGGTCGTTCTATGTGTTAAATTTACTTTAAACAAAATTCATCCAAATCTTTTTTACTGAATGCCTTTTTATCTTGAAACAAATTGTTCAGCGCGTGCAAAGCACACAGTTCTTTAACTTGTTTTTCGTGATAAAGATCGACTTTCGGTGATTCCATATCATCTAGCATCTGCATAGACAAATTCGATGAAGATTTTTTTCTTGTAATGCTATAGACGGATGTTCATAATTTGTATTCAGTTGTATAATTGTAAGCTTTATGGCTTTATGCGTCTCTCTTTGGCGATATCAATGTCTTTCCATTTTCGTTTTTAAAGGTGTCAAAAATAGCAGGTAATAACCGGAACTGTGTACAATGTGCAATACGTCATGTAATACTGTGTGTATGCTAATATTGCTTTTCAATCAAAACGGGTTAACGTATCTGCAACACGCCCACAAACGTTGAAAGGGGCGGGGATTTCATTCCAAAAGGTGAATCATTTCCGAAAGGAAATACATTCATCTACGCCCACTTTTCCCGCGATTTCATAGCTAAATCTTATTACCGCAAAAAGAAAATATACTACCATTATCTTCTATTAAAATATCACAAATACCGCAGTTAGTTATGAATGAATCTAACGTAAATTTCATTATTTTATTAATGAGTAATCTTGGAAATAACTATACGAAAATTACTTTTGTTCGTTTTATATTTACATTTTTTAAACAGGGTCTTTCGTTGCCCGTTATGGTATATTACTGGTCTATTTGGTTATAAGTTTTTTTACGGTATTACACGGTACCGAAAAGAAATGAGACCATAATACACAGCACTATTTCTTAATGTTTTCCGATATAAGGTGCATCTTAGTATTTGCACTAGCTGCCCTCTGAATATATTAGTGTTGGGAAAACTGTATACTTAGGACAATTTGACAAGATGTCTAACGTGGAATATAGACCTGCTGAAACTTTGACCATTCGATTAAGCCGACGGGACTCGGGTGTGTCATGGGGATTTCGTCTGCAGGGTGGCACGGATTTTAACATTCCACTGTCTGTACAGTCGGTAGGTAAACGTTGATTTAAATCAGAGTAAATAGGACAATTAAAGAAAGTAACCTTTAGTTAGAATATCCAGTGATTAATGGAAGATAAAGTGTGAAGGTGTTTGGAGGCAAAACTTTTTTTTTCGAAGGCACTTGTAACAATAACTCAAAAAGTTAATATTAATGAAAAAAGACTCATTTATATTCAGTGCATGTGCTCATATGTGAAATCATTATAAAATTTACAAAGAAAACACATATGTGCATTAAAAATAATGAAAACAGGCATCCAGCCAATAGCAGAAGGGTATCACTTTCACTGACTCCCATATAAGGTCATGTATGTTACATACAGGTGTATTGTATAATGAATGAAGTCTGTATAGTAATACATGTAATGTCAAACATGTTTTAAATATACAAATACTTGCTTGGATCATATTTACAATTTTGTAGTATAGATATTGCTACAATTGGGGATGAAGTGGGGCACTGATATATATATATACAATATAGTCTTTAATATTAATTGTGATATTCTAGAAGGCTATTATTTACTTATTATTAATTAATTTAATTGGGGTGAATGTCACAAGTAAACTGTCAGAAAAAATTATCAATTAAGAGATGTGTGCAATTTGGCCTGCTGTTTTTTTTTTTATGAAATGAAAAGAAAAGACAACTTTTTTTGTTGAAAAATTAGAAATATAGATAATGTTGATTGTTTTTATCTGGTTCCTATATTTAAAGCCAATAAGACCAATTCAATCATTTCATTTCCATTTTATTCCAGCATCACCTGCATATGGAGTACATGTATATATCTAATTCAATTTGATATTCAAAGATTTGCATGTAATTACTGCTTACATTTGAAAGCTATTAACCCAAAGGTTATGAATGATAAAGTATAAGTCATACATGTATCATACAAAGTTTGACAAAGGCCAACATGATTTGGATGACGATTTTGAACATCTGTGTCATGTAATACATTAATAATAATAATAAACATGTAATGTAGTACTTAATAATAACGGAATTTTGTTTGATAATAATTAAATATGGAAACATAATTTTGCATTTGAAAACATCAGTGTTATGTTTTTTTTGTGTGTTTTTTTCGCTTATCTCTGATCAATTCTTTTCAAATTTTTATATAGCTGTCACAGAAGCATTTAGTTAGTAAAAACCACTTTTCATTTTACAGTTTAGTAGTCAAAAATAAAGTTTTTCTTTGAAAAAAGTAAAGTTATCATGTTTATAATATCTTCATATTTTTTTTCAAATTAGAATGAATTGTTCCTTAATATATAATGACTAGTAGTATGGCATTTAAAATAGTTTGTGTTCTGGACAACAGCTAGTTTAGACCCTCAGACCTATCTTAAGGTATAATGTTTGATTTGTTTATAGAGATCTAAGCATTGTTCTACATTTCTTTCTATTGAGCGAGTAAATGTATTAAATTCCTGAAGATTATTGTTATGGAAAATATCTCTAAATTTTCAACCATTGATTATTTATATGTAAACAAGAGAAGAAAATATAAATAAAACATTTTTGAAATTGTTGAGTTAAAACTTGTTGTACCATGTGTATGATTTTTTAAATATCGACCTTAAAGAGGAGTAATTTATACTTTACTGAATTGCAACAACATGTAAAAGAGGGAATATTATATATATATATATATATATTTCATGAAAAGTTTTGGTTATATATTATTAAAGAATGCATTGTAATTTTTTCATTACATTGAATGGAAGAAAGCAAAACAAAAGTCTGTTTCTCCTGTTTTAGGACTTACAGCTGTAAAGTAAGATACATTTAAGGGTCAATAATTTATTTTTTGTATCATATAAATTAATGATAGTTTTAACATTGCATCTTAAGTCAAATTTAGAGTGGACTTCAAAAATTTGGGACAAACAATACTTCTTTTTAAATTTGGCCTGATGTAAGTCATATGGCATGTATGGGCCCCGATATGGTGTATCTTAAATATTTTTAAAAATCATTTTTTGCTCTGATTAATTCCTAATGCTTCCTTGCTTTTTATGAACCATTCTTTTCTTCATGAAGAAATATATTTCACTATTCCAAGAGATTTTGCACAGATTTATGTAATGTTAACAGATAAGTTAAAACACCCAATATTTTGGTCTTTAAATTTTTGAAGCAGATTGAAACATTTAAGTTCCTGATGAGCCCAATCATTAAAAGGGTCCTAAGGGGTCTTTTTCATGTTAGGACTAGTGTGGTCTTCCCCCAACAGAGGTTGTGTATTCTATATATCCTGCATAACCACAGGCAAGTTCCATCATCATGGTAGGCTAAAATATTTGTTTTCTTTTCAGGTAAATCCAAACAGTGTTGCAGATAGGGCAGGTTTGCAGGCAGGGGATGGTATCCTATTTATTAACAATGCCAACACAGATCAGCTTTCGCATGAACAAGCCAAGATGGAAATGATCAGATCTGGCAATGAAATATACATGACTGTAGTCAGGTAATAATTTCATAATGTAATTGATATTTATGGGATATATTTCTTGCTTCTTTTGATCATTAATATGATAAGTGTCATAGTTATGGTCTGAGGAAAGAGATAAAACAGTCGGTTATCAACTTTCTAAAAATGTTTGCGAACTTAACCTTAAACATTTTACCATACAAATTCTCTCAACTTCTTGGCCAAAATGAAAGCATTACTTGCTAATTTTCTACAATTGAATTTTGTGTTGCACACACAAATTTATTAAAGTTAAGGTAAACATATTAATATCAAAAGCAGAATGATGAAATATTCTGCTGTCTTATAATGAAATTAACACTTTATACATTTGGTGCTTCTCTGGATTTACCTTTTATTATCAGGAATGCTCAAAATTTGGTGCTTCTCTGGATTTACCCTTATCAGGAATGCTCAAAATTTGGTGCTTCTCTGGATTTACCTTTATCAGGAATGCTCAAAATTTGGTGCTTCTCTGGATTTACCTTTATCAGGAACGCTCAAACTAAAAAAAATGAAACCAAAAATGTATGAATACATGAATCTGGGAGGAGCTATATATGATGTCATATATGTTGTAAAAATTTATGTTTACCTTTTGATCTCAGTTGTATCTAAGCAATTCAAACTTTTGTTCTTTGAACACAGTCTATGTTTCCAGTTATTGTTTTGTACATGGCTCCTCTTTTAATAAAAAGTCATTGCAATACTTTGATATATCAAGCAAATTATTAGCTGTTTCATGTACAATTTATATTAATTATTATTCAAGCAAGTTAATAGAATGTGTGAAAGATTCATCAGACTTTGAGTTTGAATGGTAAAATTATGAAAGGGTCCTTAAATCAAACTTAAGGAACCAGGCCTCAGACCTCTGCATTTTATCCCCTGATAGATACTCAATAGCACGCATTAATATGTTTTTTGTTGTTGAAGAATTAATTTCCACTTTTTTTAATTTTAAACTCAGAAAGAAGTATTTCCATTTTGGTCAAAAACTTTCATGCAGCTCAGAACATGTTGAAAGAAGCTTTTGGACATTATGAAATAGATTTCTGAAGTTTTAAATTGACATTTGAAAATTTAATTAATTATTATTCACTACTATTTTTCCATCTGCGACTGTCATACAAATTATTTTTTTAGAATATTCAATGTTCCCAAACTGGGAAATAGAGATAACTCTTGATGCATATTTCATATGGGAGACAACTTTTGGAATAATACAATGTAATATAAGTGAGGATTGATTTTATCATTATTTAATGAATTTACAATAATCACATGAACTATTTTATTTACAGAGGTGCTGTAGAAGTATGGAAACCAAAAGTTACAGCCTTGTCAGATCTACGTCCACAAGAATTACGTCAGATAAAGACAGCTACTGGAGATACCGTTACAGCAGTTCAGAAAACAGACCTCACCCGAGATGGACCACTGGTATAAATGCATTTAGTAACTTTTAGAATATCTTAAGGGATTTGTTTTTTTAGTTACAGTTCATTTTAAATATTAGTGTAAGTTAGGTACATTACAGTTTTAAACTTGTTATTAAATTTACTTCTTATAATGACAATACAATTAGATTAAAATAGCAACTATTTTTTCTTTATATCATTAAACATATTTACTATACAAATTCCTGATTTAAAAAAAAAATAGTAGAAAGGGAATTTAGAAAATCAATTAGAAATGTTCAAAAGAAATAAGGAAATATCCAAAAGTAGAAAATGCAATCAGATACCTTTCTTTTATGAAGTATAGTACTTATTATAACATGTAATTTTGTATTTTTTTAGTTTATATTTAATTTGTGGTGACAATTAACTGATTAAAATAGGTCTTTTCAAAATCTACCCATGTACAATTCCACATCCATATATGACACTGTAATAGTCCAATGTACTAATTTATCATCTGTAATTCATTTAGACAATCTACACAAAACATTAAAAAAAAATCATGAATATTTCAATTTATTATAAATTTAGGAGTCATTAAAAATAGGAAGTAGCCACAATCGTTCAGCCAAACCATTTGGACAATCAAGTCAGTATGAACCGCCAAGACCAGAATACCAACAGCAACAGTATCGACCACCCCCTCAACAACAACATTATCAACCACCCCCTCAACAACAGCAGCAATATAGACAACAACAACAACAACAGCAGCAACAGTATAGGCCACCACCACAACAACAACGTCAGCCAATGAGTCCTACATCACCAAAGGCACCTGTTCCCACAGTTGTCCATGCTCAATTTAATTCCCCAATAGGCTTGTATTCTGCTCCTCATATTGCTGAAAGTTACGATGTCCAGACAAAAGGAATACAGAAAGAAATGGAAAAGTAAGATATTTAATTAATAGGATTATTTGATTGGTCAGTTTTTCACTGTAAAATTTTAAAAATAGTTTTTGTCTTACCTTGTGTAAAAGGTAAATTGATCTAATGCATACTTGAGTGACATTTTGTGCACTAATCAATTGATTTAAATCTGATGGTTAAAGTCTGTTATTAACTTTAACACTTTGATAGGTTATAAAAGTCCTAAACAATGGATATCTAACCAATGATATAGCGTTGTGATAAATTTGGTGTACTGTACAGACATTGAATTTACCCATTATCCTTTAAATTCTAAAATGGTGGATTGACAAATTTCAAGAAAATTTGTGAACAGGGTAATGTCTTATGGTGTAAGCCGTAAGGTATGAAATATGTAATATTACTTTTTGTTTTTACAGCTTAGACGTTGAAGATGCACCTGTAGGAATGAAAATAAGTGGAACATATCAGCCATTGCCAGAAGACACAGGTGATGATGATGATGATGACACAGAGTTCACTGAGCATGCTCCCTTACCTGAAACAGCAGACGACAACTCTAACAGTGTGAAGTGTGAAGACAATAATCAGCATGAAATTATTAATACTAATCCAGATTTGGAAAGTATGTTGTTAGTTTTCTCAAAGTTTTTACTGTGAAGGTTCCCTAATTCGCGGTTATCATTTTGAGTTTTTCAGATTTGAATTCATTATTTGAAATTCGAAACTTGGCAATGAACAAATCATTGAAAAACTGTAATTAGTCAGGAATTTAGTTAGCCATTAAAGCCAGAATGAAAATCTTGTCACAGTAAGAAAAAAATAATCTGATGACTAAACAAATCTTTGTTTTTAATTCTATTGTCCACAGAATATCAGACATACTGTGAACTAAGAATCTTGTTGAATTCTTTTATTTTTGCCCAAAGGCAACAAGATTATTAGAACTCACATTTTACATTTTGATCACATCTTTTGCAGCTTTTCCTGAAATGACATGAATACTTATTGCATTTTTGTCTTTTGATCAACAACTATGGTAATAAAGGCATGCCATTATGTGTGTATTTTCATCCTATTGGTATCGTCTCATTTGTCAGGATGATTAACAGTTACAGTAGAAACCATATAGGTGTTTACCAATTTTCTTGCAATAGGTCTGTTCAGAATTTTTTTTTATATAAGATCTACTAAAATAATTGTATTTGATATTGACTAATTGAAACAGCCTAATTCAGGTGACATTGCCTAACATCTAATTGAGTTTCCATGTAGAAATTTTTGTAAAAAAACCCTGAAAAATATATAACTTTTTGATTTAAATGCCTTTTGGTAACATGAAAGTAGATTGACCACTAGCAAGAAAACTGGTTAACCTAGAATGATTTCTGGTGTTATTATTGACCCTTGACTTTGTTTGTTGAATTTTCAGAATGCATGGGTGTGTTTTATTGTTTTGTATATGTATTAACTGTTAGTTTTTTTTTCTTCCAAAGAGTTACAAACAATTACTTACAAAGAAAGCCAATCAATGTTTTATTCTCAGAGATCCAGAGGATATATAGATTGATTGTCACAATGTCACAAACTTTCCATGTTTTCATCCTTTCCTCGAAATAACAAAGGAAATATCTGAACTAAACCCTGATAGGAATTTTTCATAGAAAGCAATTCAAAATTTTAAATTGCCTGAGGTCACCAGGTAACTTTTAAGCAAATTTAAGAGTTGGTTTTGAACATTTTTAATGGTGACAAGTCACAGGTCCTTTGAAATGAGACATCAGTTTGCAAGGTTGCCCTCCAAACCTCCCAAGGTTGCAGGTCTGGTATGACCAATTTGGAGATGCCTACATGTATTGAATGGAAAATATTGCTGATCTTGAAGGATCAGTTCTTATAAAGATTATAATACTATAAATATAATAGTTCCAGACTTTTTGCAGACAGGAATGCTGAAAAACATTTTTTAGCATTTAACTGATGTTTAAAAATAATTTTAAAAATATTGACCTGATCAGATTTTTGCTGGCATTGGGTCTGCAGTGCCCACTACTAAAGTGAAAATATACTTTTATAGATTTGGTGTGTCCAAAGCACATTTCTGGATTAACCTTCATCTGGAATGCTCAAGCCCAAAGTAAAGACCGACTGCTACAATTTTAAAGAGGTCATTTATGTAAGAAAAGGATCTGCTAGTCAGTGGAGCAATTAAGGATCGTGTAGGCCTATAGTTTCTTTGAAGTCCAATTTAAAAAAAAAAAAAAAATATTCCTATAATTTGTACATTATAAACTTTTATTTAGATGAAAGTTAAAGTTTTTGTTTGATAATTTTTATCTTGATCAATGTCTTTTACAATATTACAGATATAAATGTCTGTTATTTAATGCTTACTATAACAATTTTCAATAAAATAAACAAAGAAATATGTGTTATTGTTAAGGTTAGAGTCTATAAAACCCTCCTATCATCACCCTAGAAAATTTAAATGCTATGATGTGTGATAAGAAAATATGATATTTGTTTTCAAAAATTGTGTCTGAATTGTTAGGCTTGTCGATTTTAAACTTCACTTAAAGATAATCTCAAGTACCATCACTGTGCAATATTTGTGGTCACTTTAATTCACGGAAGGTGAATCAACTACCGGTAAATGTTTGCACAACAATATTCACTGTTGACCCATATACTTCTAAGTGTTAAAAGTCAACTTGACAGCTACTTGTATATCTGCATTGTTTTAAACTCAGACAGTTCAAATATAATATGTGTCTGTAGTATTGGCAATGAATAGATTTTGAAAAGTAATGGTTGTTGCTTGGTTCTGTTTTTTTTATTAGAAAAAAATGTATTTTTTAAATTTGAAAATTCAAATTGCTGCCAAGTAAATAAATTCTTGACCACTGTGATTGAATGTAATTTAGTTGTCCAACCAGTTTAAACTTATATTTCTTATTATTTCTTTATATAGTTGCCTCTTTTAAGGTCAATCCTCTTTAGCAAATTTAAATCTCGATAAAGATGTCATCAGGTAAGAAGTTATTTTACCAAGAAATTACTGCCGCTTATTTATGTACAGTTAAGCTGACCCTATGGGAAGAGTTGCTTCCCTTGAGAGAGACAGGCTAGTTAAGCTGACCCTATGGGAAGAGTTGCTTCCCTTGAGAGGGATGTCATAAGATGTGGGACAACATAGGAACTGATGTTAGAAATTGTATGACAGTTCTGTAGAATTTTTTTGTATTAAAATTATAAAAAAAAACTATTTTAGGACCTAGTGGATTTAGATCAGTGACAGCACCAAAGTTTGATCCCTCACAAAACCAGTCACCGAAGCAAGAATCAATGCACTGTGTAAAGTGTGGAAATATGGTCAGGTGAGTATTCCCAGAATGCAATGTACAGTTTTAAATACTGTAAACTTACTCATTTAGTATATTTTAACTTTGAACAAAAGGACAGTACAAGTAGGAAATAACATAAAAATTAGAAAATTTAGCATGAATTAGCACATGACAATCTACTTTTAAAATTCATTATTGCATCCTTTACCAAAAAAACTTACTTCATATGCATACATCTTCTTGGCAAAAATTTAAGCGCTTACTCTGATATTTTGTGATACAATTGTTCATGTATTGAAATCTTGTGAAAATCACTACCCATAGATATATTTTATGGCAAAAGTGGAACCCATTGATATATTTCTCAGTTATCACATATACAATTTTTGACATCTTAATTTGATTTACAAGGATAAAATAGTATGTATACAGATATCTAATAGAAAGATAAAAATAACTGACCCATTGACATTTTAGCTGTGTGGAATTGCAACCCATTGATTTATTTGACAAAAAAGGGACCCATTCCAGCAACACGTCTGTGTATACCTTCATATAGGAAGAGGCTGCTTCCAATTCAAGCAAAATCAATGAGTATACTACATGTATCACAATACCACAATGCTAAAAGGCTCTGGGGAGAACACTGTATTTTGGTGTCCATATTACCCAGAATGCATTTGATTCTGAAATGATAAATTATGTTTTATTTCAGTGGTGTATTTGTAAAGATCAAAGGACAGCCATACCATGCACAGTGTTTTACATGTACTTCTTGTGGTGTAAATCTAAAACAGAAAGGTAAGAACAAACATATAGACCATACTTTTTTTATTTCTCTATAAGATTGTTATTTACATGTGTCATCAGGAATTTTTGAAAGGGGAGGCATAATTCCATAAAACAAGAAGTATCAGCAATTGTAACGAGGCGAGAGAAAAATTGGACAATTAAATGCTAAAAAATTATATATTTTCAAATTAGTGGGGACCAGGCAGACTGTACTCCCGACTGAATCCGCCACTGGTCATCTATCAACATATGACCAATAGGTTTTACTGTTTTCTGTTTTTCTGTCTTTCATTTAGCCTTCTAACTTTTTTTATTCAAGCATCATAAACGAGTAGTTTATAGATGAAAGGCACATGTGGCAAACAAAATTATAAGCCTGGTATCCTTGATGAGTTTTTTTCTAATAATATATATGTATTGCATATTGGGTAAACTCTAATAATATATATGTATTGCATATCGGGTAAACTCAAATAATATATATGTATTGCATATTGGGTAAACTCTAATAATATATCATATTGGGTAAACTCTAATAATATATATCATATTGGGTAAACTCTAATAATATATATCATATTGGGTAAACTCTAATAATATATATCATATTGGGTAAACTCTAATAATATATATCATATTGGGTAAACTCTAAAAATATATATGTATTGCATATTGGGTAAACTCTAAAAATATATATGTATTGCATATTGGGTAAACTCTAATAATGTATATCATATTGGGTAAACTCTAATAATGTATATCATATTGGGTAAACTCTAATAATGTATATCATATTGGGTAAACTCTAATAATGTATATCATATTGGGTAAACTCTAATAATGTATTGCATATTGGGTAAACTCTAATAATGTATTGCATATTGGGTAAACTCTAATAATGTATTGCATATTGGGTATTTCTGATGTGTATCTGTATCTAATTTTTCAGGTTATTTTGTGATAGAAGGTTGTTTATTCTGTGAAATCCATGCTAAACAAAGAGCAGAAGCCCCTGGTCCAAACATGAGACAAGCTGATGTTATTTATCGGTAAGCTTGATAAAACACAAAATTAATGTTGTTTATCGGAAATAATTGTAAATCACCAAATGATAGAAGGATGTAGTTGAAAAACAAATATAAACATAAATTAAGAAATGTTATCATGAAATTATATTGGTGATAGCTAATAATTATTTTGAAAATTAATAATGAGTGAGTTCTAGCACTTATAATTTAAAAGAGAAATAAGTGATAAAAATGTAACAAAGTTTCGTTTACTGGGAACATATGGTTACTCAAAGGATTGATTTTGTCCAAATTGTTTACAGGTAACATTTTTCGAGATTAAGAGCTGTTATTTGTCATGTCTTGTGACATAACACATACCTTCATTTATGACCTTCTCTTTCCTTTCTTTATTTCAGATAAACAGTCCTGGTTAAAACCTGTGTAAGACTTTGCAGTGTGATTCCCAGAAGATATCTACAAATATGATCTGATTTACAGAATGCTCAGATTTGTATATTTATGCTCATATGTATTTATACCTTTGTGAAAATTTTAAAGAGTTACTGTGGATTCATTTATTTTCGTGGGTACCAATTATCATGGATTGATGAAAACTTGTATTTTCGTGGACATTTGATTTCATAATTTGGCCCATGTCTGCATACAACCTGATGGAAAATTTGTAATTCGTTGAACATTTAGATTTGTGGTTCATCTGTACCCACGAAATCCACGAAAATTGGGATCCAACGAATAATAATGAATCCACAATAAGTTACAGATTTCCTCTAAAAGTATGTGTCCTTGATAGAAGACCAAGGCGTTCAAAAAATAGTAGAAGGTTTATAGATTCATAATTATAATTGGTTGTTTTTTTGTAAGGACTTTGTGGATGTCTAATACTGTGGATGCATTATTATTCGTGGGAAACCAATTTTCATAGATTTCATGCGTATTGGTAAACCAAGCAAGTCAAAGATTGTCTAAGATATAGAAATATGTACTGATAACTTTTATTGTAAAGAGGAAAAGTTTTGCAAAGAACTTTTTTTTTGGCTAATATTTCACAATAACGATAAATTTGCAAACAGAACTGCATAAATATCCAGTCATGTAAATTTTATCTTTGAAGCAGATTTGAATAAATACCAAGAATAACTAGGAAATAATACTTCACGAACAGGTTCAGCCATTTGAATTGACAAAATTCAGACTCCACAAAAAAATAAACTGATTTATAGTATTTTGTTAAAGTAGATATTTATTCATTTTCAATATTTACTAGAGTAGATTTTCATGCACTGCAATATATTTTTTTATAAAAAAAACTTTGCTTACTGCTTGCTGTGTAGGTACACAGACAATTATTTTTTGATAAAATTACTTTTTTGTGTTCAGGTTAAGTTTGAATTAGGAAATTTGCCTTCAAACTTCATGTATACTAATGTTAAGCTGTGATACAATACAAATTTTGGTCAGTTTTTTATGTTACTGTATAATGCGATATTATAACTAAAACTATATTTTTGTGTTTCTATGATATTATGACTTAATATTCCCTGGCGGAATATATTCAATAATGATATTGTTATACATGTATTATAAGTTTGGAAATATTAGTCATGCAAACATAAGCAGATATTTCTGGGGAATGTTTATATGTATGAACGAGGAACAATTAAGGGAAATTGTACATTATATGTATGGTGGATGATATCGGGGTAATACGTGATTGATGCTCTACTTGAGGGGGGCTTCATTTGTAATGGAGTGAGTGTAGAGGGTTAAAACTGTTTTAAAAAAGCTATATCCAGGATATTTAGTAGTATCTTCAAACATTTCATTTGAGAATTGACCTCTTAACTGTCATCACCCATTTCAATTCTTTTTTGCAAGAGTTATCTTTCTTGACTAGTCAGACTCATTTATAGATATGTGCAATGTTTTTAATGTTTGGAAAATCAGGACAACATGCTATCACCTAACATAATAAAAAGTAATGCATATCATATTTTATGGCTTCAATTTTTTTTCTCAAATTTGAAGATTCTGTTCTACAAATGAAGTTGAATACTACTCTGGGGACATTTCTCTTCTCTTACAAAACTCCATATAAAAATACTGAGTAGACTTATTTATGAACTAGCCTCTAGAATGCCTATATCTTTAAGAAATATGAACGTTATATGCCTTTTTTAGTTCCTACGGGTTGTACCGGGTATTTTTTTTAGAAGTTTTTAGAAAAATTCTCTACAGACATATTGTGTGAATGAATGTTTATACTGAGCTTTTTGGAGTGGTCAGTTCTATTTTGTCCCCCCACTTTCATCTTTTCGCCCTTTTTTTGAGTATTTAATATGTACACTGTTTTGTTTGTAACATACTTTTGGGTAGAAAGTTTCAATTTCAAAAGACTTGAAGTACGTGTAAGTACAGATTGTTTTGTGAAACAGTTGACTGGATTGTAAATTGAGAGATATCTGAAGTATATTTTGTTAATCAGAGACTGACACAAGTTGTATCATACAACGGTACAAAAAAAGACTGTTAAATATTTATATTATAAATACATTTTTACTTGAAATGTTTCAATATTTTATTTAAAGGTCATTTCAACCATCATGCAGCTGTTCAACAAATTATTGCTTTCTTTTTGGTGTCTGTTTCCATTTTTTTGTGTTTGTTATGTTATTGGGTACTTTTACTTGAAACAGGGCATTGATTCATGTAAAGAAATGAAAGTATTCTGTTGATTTTTTTTTTTAACTATTCTTATTTTAATATGTAAATTTATTTCATTACACCAGATGTGAAAATACTATTGACAATTCAGTATCTATTGTTGTACTTTTCGTACTCGAGTCACATGGTAAGATTGGATTAGTATCTGTAATAAATAACTAGTTGATACAGATACTTAAATCTAGGTCAATTTCGATTACAGACAATATGAGTAATAGAAGAACAAATAGCACAGAGTTTTGTGAACTTTTATTAAATAATCAATTGCCAATGGTATTTTCACACACTGTGTAATGTGTAATTGGAGTGAAAGACGTGATTGTATGTTAGAAGATATTATATGTTTAATAGAAGTACAGTTGAACCTTGCTCTATTTTGTTGTGAAAAATCTCTTTTAGTCCTTATTTTGCAGAGTATTTCTTTTGAAATGTCCACTTTTATCTAAAACTAGTTTGAGAAAAGGAAAGTTTACCTACTAAGAATATGTTAGATGTTGGACATGGAAAAAGTGAGGTTGTTGATAAACCTCATTGTTATGATGAAACATATGTGGTGAAAAATTGAAAAACATAAAGGATAAGGCCTGGTAAGACCCCTTTTTGGACCCAAAATATAGCATTTTAAAAATTTGTTAAAAATGTAAACTTTGAGCTATTTATTTGAAAGTAGAATAATTTTGTTTCATAAATAAGGGCTGTTTTTGACAATACAATGCACATGCATTAGGTACTAGCATCATTAATTCATGCAAAGTCACTGAAATCTTCACAATTTTAGCATTTATGCTAATTTTTAAACGGTTTTTGTCTAAAATAAAAGTTGCTGCACTTGTGTTCAGTCTTAACATTTAAATATATGTTGTATTTGATGACAATACATAACATAGATAAAGGTTGAGACTGAACACGAATGCGACCACTTCCATTTTAGACAAAAAGCATCTGAAAAGTGATGTTTTGTGGCATATTTAAGAGATTCTTCATACTTATGCTTGAATTTAAGTGTCTATAATGACCAAACCAGTTCAAATCTTTTACCTGAACTAATTGAATCGACTGAAGTAGACACTTAAGTGTTTAAAAAATGTCAAAAATCTTTCTTCAGATGTACTTCAAATTTAGGCCAAAATTGACCCTTACCGGACCTTCTCCTTTCCTTTGGATTACTGTTTATAAAATACAACATTTACATAATAGCAGGATTTTCATTATTCTTCTGTTTGTAAAGAATAAATATTTTGATGCAAAGAAAAGGTAGGTTTTCATGCATTTACCAAAAAGATTGATCTAGATGTTGTGTCAGACATGCCAAACTGCCAACAATGTATATATAATTACCATAGCAAGGTTCAGTTGTTTGTTTACCAGAATAGATATTTTATTTCATTTTGAAGTGGTTTTTTTTTATTTTGTAATTTTTACATTTATATGCAATGTCCCATATGGGCACTTCCTGTAAAGGTGCTTAAAATTATTTTTATAGTTAAATGTTTGTAGTATATTTAGATTAGAACATTAGAAGTTGTAGTATATTTAGAAGATTAGATTATTTATATATTTTTACACACAAATCTGAAATATACATGCAGCACATTGTAGCCTTCAGTAAAAAATACACTATTTTTGTATACTGTTTTTTCGTGATACTTTTTTCTCTGTCTCACAGCAGACAGGGATACAGTAATGTTAGTCATCCAGATTTTTTTAGTTGCTCAAGTGATCACTAGATCTTTAATCGGCATATCATCTATGCACATTGATGCATACAGCATAAAGTTCTGTATCATGGCATTATATTTATGAAGAAATGCTTATAGGTTAATATTGAAAATATGGAATGAATGTTGAAAAATTATATTCATAATAATGACTGATATCGAAAATTTATATTTTTTTTCCCTTCAATTTTGTGGGTCAGTTTTAGTTGGGTTGAATGCCTTCTAAATCTGTATCAAATTTATTGTTTATATAGAATACATGTAATGATGTATAGTCTTTTTCAGTTGCGTCTTATTTAAATAATACCTTCAATGAGTTTAAAGGTTATTTGTGTATAGTTATTTTTAGAATGTGATGAATGTTGTTATTATACCCTGCAATACTTAGATCTGCTATTTTGTATACTGCTTTACACCACTTATCTATTTGTTGGAATAAAGTTTATGAAAAGTTGTATTATGTCCATCAGCACTGTATGTAAGATATTATTCATAGGGCATATTTGGTATAGGTCAATGAGATAGAAACTCGTCTACACTTCAAAAAATATGTTGAGAGTTCAATATGCAGCTATAGATATAAGAAGATGTGGTATGAGTGCCAATGAGACAACTCTCCATCCAAGTCACAATTTGTAAAAGTAAACCATTAAAGGTCAAAATACGGTCTTCAACACGGAGCCTTGGCTCACCCCGAACAGCAAGCTATAAAGGGCCCCAAAAATGACTAGTGTAAAACAATTCAAATGGGGAAAACGAAGGGTGTAATTTATATAAAAAACGAGAAACAAGAAACACTTATGAACCACATCAACAAACTACTGAACATCAGATTCCCGACTAACAGATTTATACCTGCCAACTTCTCAAAATCTCCATGGGGGATAAGTGCAAGAGGACCCAATGCCCCTCTTACATTATCATAAGTGTTTTAAATCTACTACTATTTTGTTCAAATGAGTATGTATGTGCTTAAATACCATTTTAAGTCATTTGAATGGGCTATTCCAGAAATAATCCATCCCCCCCCCCCCCCTATGGAAGACATTGGAATTCCAGATTTTTTTTTCTCAATTTTTTCTAAAATTCCAGACAAATTTCCAATCTGCACAAAAAATTTCCAAACTTCTCGTCTATTGGTGCACAAGAAATTCCATGAATTTTCCAAAGGGTAGAGTAATTTCCACATAATTTTTACTGGTAGTCGTTAAGAATTTCCAGAACAGAAATACTTTGCAACCCATTATTTCCAGGTATAAAACACAAGAGTTCTGATCAATTCCCTATGTATGTTCATCTCTTAAAAGACTTCAAATAATGGGGGAGGGGACAAAACTTTGATACAGTGATAGTATAGTTTAAATTTAAAGAGCAGGAGCATTCAAAATATTGTTTAATTCATTTTATAAGTTGCACTTTGTAATTAAAGCTTTTTCACAGACTGTCTCTTTTGGAGAGATATATATATATTATTAGTAGATATTTTGTTTTGTGTATGTACAGAGACTGTATTATATGTCTCTGGTATGTACTAGTTCCCAGATATGATTTTGTGGGGTAGAGATACTACAGAATTTAGTATTTATTTGTTTAAACTCTTTAGAAGTTCGTGCATGTAAATATTAAAAGTATATGCTGCACAGCCCTTTGTTTTGACCTTTGAATAAAATAGTAGTACATACATGTATCAACAACTTTCCATTTCAGGATATAATTAAATTGTTACGAAACTTCATAGTACAAGAGGCACAGTTTTAGCTGTAAAGGTACCCGTAGTTCCTATGGGAAATTGCATTGTCTTTATTTACAGAAGTGCAACCTATATTCTATCTTGAATTGTTTCATATATATATACAAAACTGTTGAATGTTAATTAGGTGCAAATGTCACAATAATTGGATTAATAGCATATATGACTACTCACTAGTGGAAAATTATATCACATGGAAAGATAAAAACAGAGAAAATTTGGTTTGATCATGAAAGTATTATATATTAAATATAATACTTTCATGGTTTGATAAATATTGAATGCCTTAATGACCTTTGTTAACACATCAAAAATATATCTTGACATATGATTAAATGTAGCTTCAGACACTTGTGATGTAATATATATAATCAAGGAGATGATAATTTCAACCAAGTTATGTATTAAAATCTGTATTTTTCACCCTTTTCATATATATTAAAGGATTAATTAACACCAATAAATTGTGCAATTTGATATCCTAAATTTTATGATGAAATTTAGGGTTTGTCCTATAACACCAACTAATGCCAGATTTTAGGTCACTTCAGCTAAATAGCCAGAACATTGACCAATTAACAGATAATTGATACATCATTTATTCAAACACACTTGTTTGTCTTCACAGCAGGAAATTGTCTAATTACCACAATATTGTAGAAGACTGACCAGAAATGACCAGCTGTGGACTATGACTCTACTATGGTTTGCAAAATACTGCTACAAATAAATAGATTGTTATCAGAATCAGTGGAAAACTGTCTACTGACTTTTGAATTTACATTAAGAAGATCCCCCCCTTTTTTTTAAAAATAATAGTCTTAATACAAGGCAATAGTAAAAGTTGAGTATTTGTGGTTAGTGTTTTATTTTCACACGAAAGAATATAACTAAGATATGGAAAATGGATATGAATAAGAAATGACTGATGTTTTTTAAAAGAAATAAATTTTGAAAATTTAAAAAGTTGATAAAAATTCTTTTCACAAAAAAACCCCTGACATTCCTAATTTATACCCTGTTTAACTATTTATTTTTTTTCTAGCCTGCCACTAGTCGGCAAAGCTAGACATATGTAGCAATCCTTCACTCTAGCATCATCAACATTTAAGTTCATTTTTAAGTTAATTTCTATTTTTTTAAACGACAGAAGCTTTGTTAAATCTTCATGGAATTCTGCTTAACTGACAGACACTTCTTCTATACAAAGATCATGAAGATAGCATCCAGAGAAATTTTTATTCTTTTTTTCAATATTTCATTCATTTAATGGACCATGGAAAATGAATATAATAATACTTCAATGAATGGACTAATTAGATATAAGAAGATGTGGTATGAGTGCCAATGAGACAACTCTCCATCCAAGTCAAAATTTATAAAAGTAAACCATTATAGGTCACAGTACAGTCTTCAACACAGAGCCTTGGCTCACACCGAACAGTAAGCTATAAAGGGCCCCAAAAAATTACTAGTGTAAAACCATTCAAACGGTTTATTTTGCACTAACAAGGTATACATGTACAAAACTTTAATTTTTTCAAAATACTAAGGATTTTTTTATTCCAGGAATAGATTACCGTAGCTGTATTTTGCAAAACCTCTATGGAATTTTGGGCCAATGCTCTATAACTTCATAATTTATAAATTATTAGGTCTTTTATTAAACTTTTTGATTCAAGCATCACTGTTGAGTATTTTGTAGAGAGAACCCTATCTGGTGTACACAATTTTAAGCCTGGTATCAACAACGTGGTTTTTTAAACAGTCTGAGGGTTAAGCTTTTTTTAAGACTTCAATAACTTTGTCAAGCATTATGGAATAGTTGATATGTTGATTGGTGTTAAATGCCACTTCAGCACTATTGTGCTATTTTGTGGGCCTGGCTGTCAGTTTTTATTGGTGGAGGAAGCCGGAGAAAAACGACCTTCGGTTGGAAAACTAACAATCGGAATCCTAGTAAATTATGATTGAAGTTGAGGGCACTGCCTTGTGTAGGAATAGTTGACAGGCCAATGCAGTAGCGGATCCAGAACTTTTTGTAAAAGGGGCGGGGGGCACTGACTGACCTAGCTGACTTAAGGGGTTGGGCTGCTCCAGTCATGCTTCAGTGATTCCTTATATAAGCAACCAAATGTTTCCCACCAAAGGGGGGTCCCTTCCCCTGGATCCGCCTATGCAATGAGCCAATGATACAGTGTTAGAATACTTAAAACACTTGGGCACTAAAGCCCTTATTTTTGTTCAATAAACATTTAGATACAGCCTAGGGTTGAATTTAGCAAAATATCAATAATGTCCTCAAACCTTTAAGCAATATCAGGAAACTTTTAAAGAAGATTCTTCATACTCTATAAATACCTGACATGTTGACTAAAAATTATAATTTTTCTATGCATTCTTCCATAATTTACTTATCAATAATTATTTTGCAGTCAACCTTTAGGTATTAAAATGAAAGATCTTGAATAACTTTGTCAAACCTTCATGAAATTTTACAAAACTTATAAAAATTAGACAGAAGCTTCTTCTTAAATCAAGAGAAAGAACCTGGAGCAAATTTTGATTTTATTTTTAAAGTAAAGATATAAACATGTCTTGCAATAATTTAAACTCAAGAGATAAGGGTCATACTGCAGATGGGTATTTAGAGGGAGGTCACGCCTTATAGAGCTACCACTAAGCTAATAAGCAACATTTTAATTTAACAAATCACATTATTAAATAGTTAACATGATTGATGAATAGTGCAAACATCCAAGTATGAGCAATATCTCATCTAAATCGTTTGTAATCAGCGGGCCATGGTGATCCTTTAAGCTAACTGCAAACTAGTACATGTATTATATGCAACTTTTGATATAAAGATTTATAGTTTCTGCAGCGAATGAAAGAATGAACCTAAACAACTTCTTCTGATCAATTTAGAGCACAATGCGCAGAACAGTGATTTTTTTTTCATTCAGTAAAACAAGTAAATGTGTCCAAAGCACTCGCACGATTGTTTTCTGTGTTTTGGGATAATTTCATAGAAATATGATCCAATATCCACCTTATCTATAATTTTTAGTGCAAATCATTTCTCTGGCCTTTCATTAATACTGTGTAGCAATGTTTTTGGTTTTTCCGGAAATGTGTTAATTTAAGGGAAACTTTCAGCAGAGACCACCCTTCTGTTTTTCATTTTTTTTTTTAATACTGTTTTATTTTTTATTTTTTTTTCATAATTTCATAAAATTTGTTAATTTGAATTTGAATTTAAATTTTGATTTTCTGATTTTCTAACTATTTCAATAAATGTTGAATTAAATGTTTAATGGTAAGAATTTTGTCTTATAAGAATATTTGTTTACATGTGTGGTTTTAATGATGATGGTCATTAATTAGTTCTGCACAGTGAGAAATTTTGTAGGAACTGTGATGTTCAAACAAACTATTTTATAGCTCATTTCACTAATTCACCAATGTTCTATTTCTTTTGAATCCTATGGATAGGTTTTAATGGGATATAGCACCTATTGTAGAATCTGTTTTAATAAGATGCCAGTATTTCCTGAATACTTTTTGAAGTTTTTCTGCTTGAGAATGATAATATGTAATGAATGATACATTACATCTATTTTCAACTTCCTTCTTTTTCTTTATTTTATCTTGTCTGTCTTGGAATTTGACTTTTGATAGAATTTGTTTTACCAATTTCAGTTA